GCGGCGACGGGGCCGCTAGGGGCGGCGACGGGGCCGCGTAGGGGCGGCTACGAGGCCGCGTAGGGGCGGCGACGGGGCCGCGTAGGGAGGGAGGCGGCGACGGGGCCGCTAGGGGCGGCGACGGGGCCGCGTAGGGGCGGCGACAGGGCCGCGTAGGGAGGGAGGAGGCGACGGGGCCGTTAGGGGCGGCGATGGGGCCGCGTAGGGGCGGCGACGGGGCCGCTAGGGGCGGCGACGGGGCCGCGTAGGGGCGGCGACGGGGCCGCGTAGGGAGGGGAGCGGCGACGGGGCCGCTAGGGGCGGCGACGGGGCCGCGTAAGGGCGGCGACGGGGCCGCGTAGGGGCGGCTACGGGGCCGCGTAGGGAGGGGAGCGGCAACGGGGCCGCTAGGGGCGGCGACGGGGCCGCTAGGGGCGGCAACGGGGCCGCGTAGGGGCGGCGACGGGGCCGCTTAGGGGCGGCGACGGGGCCGCGTAGGGAGGGGAGCGGCTACGGGGCCGCTAGGGGCGGCGACGGGGCCGCGTAGGGGCGGCGACGGGGCCGCTAGGGGCGGCGACGGGGCCGCGTAGGGGCGGCAACGGGGCCGCGTAGGGGCGGCGACGGGGCCGCTTAGGGGCGGCGACGGGGCCGCGTAGGGAGGGGAGCGGCTACGGGGCCGCTAGGGGCGGCGACGGGGCCGCGTAGGGGCGGCGACGGGGCCGCTAGGGGCGGCGACGGGGCCGCGTAGGGGCGGCAACGGGGCCGCGTAGGGAGGGAGGCGGCAACGGGGCCGCTAAGGGCGGCGACAGGGCCGCTAGGGGCGGCTACGGGGCCGCGTAGGGGCGGCAATGGGGCCGCTAGGGGCCGCAAGGGGCCTGGAAGGGCGGCAACGGGGCCGTTAGGGGCGGCGACGGGGCCGCTAAGGGTGGCGCGAGGGGCCGTGAGAGGGGCCTCTAAGAGAGCTCGACAGAAGGGCGGCCCACAAGGCGCGCCTCGGGCAGGAGCGACTGTCGCTCCGGTCAGAAAAAAAAGGTTTCAGTGGTGGGCCCAAGGAAGCGTTCCCACTAGGGAACCTGCTCTATACCATGTGAAGAAATGAGGAATGAATTGACTAAGAGAAAGTTGGGTACAAAAGCAAACCCTAGAAAACTGTACCCCATATGTGCTACCCCACTATAGCCTACAGTAGCTATGTCATATAAATCTGACAGCTTAGTGGGGTACTTACTGTGGGGTACAACCCCTTGGGTTTTCACTTTGTATCAAACTCTCTCGATAGTCAATCACACTTTTCCCGTAAGTTTCTTAACACGTCGAGCACAACAAGCAAGCTGAAAATCCTCCCGCCATGGCTGAGATGGAAGTTCAGAACGACGGAGTTACGGATGCGAATCCTGCTGCTTCTGTCAACCCGATCTCCGTCGATATGTCCTTCACTATTCCGGAACCTTTTAAAGGTTGGACTACGACGACCGTCAGGGGCTTCAGAACTGATTTCAAAGCACTCCTCAAGGCGAAGTCGAAACTGAAAAAGATAAAGACGCTCAACGACCAAGGTGTGATCTTGCACAGCATTCGCACCAAGGCCGTGGAATTTCAGACCAAGTACCCTTCCACACGGGAAAAGTCTGCTGCGTCCGTCGCCTCGGTTCATTTTGAGAACCAGAAGCGCATTCAGGCCGACTTCATTGCGTCTAAGGAGCGGGAGGTCGAGGAAATTCTGTCGGCATCCTCCTCACACCTCACCACTCTGGCGACTAAGCTCGAAGACTACATTCAAGGCCTCACTGCTGACCCCGAACTAACCGTATCTGATGCGGCTAGGGAACGATACCGGAAGATCAAGGGTGTCTGCATCGAACGGGCCAAGTCGGAGATCGCACTCGCCAAGGACGATATTATCATCCGGGAGTTGGAGAGGCAGAGGATCAAGGAAGCCGATGATTTGAAGAAAGCAGCCGCCGCCGAAGAGATGGACCACCTGGAAACGGACCCGTCGATCAACGAGCTCGTTCTACAAGCTACTAAGAAGTACGCGGAGACGATGCGCAAGGAGATTACGGCGAGCGTCGAAGCAAAGCTGACTGCGAAGTTTAAGAAGAGCTTGTCGATGGGATCGCAGGATTCCAAGCCGGCCTCCTCGACCTCGAAGCCTAAGGCGGACCCGTCCAAGGACCGGAAATCTTCCGGCGCCAAGGCAGATGTACCGAAGGCGACGAGGAAACGCGGGAAAGGAAAAAAGAATGCGAAATCTTCAGGCGACGGCGGGGAGAAAAACCGACAAGCTACCTCGACGAAGGTTCAAGTTCCAAAAAACGGCAGCGGCGGCCCAGGAAAAGGGCCGCGCAAGAACTAACTGTTCGGGACATTGCACTCCGCCGATTCGGACGACTGACTGTACGACAAGCGCAGTCGCGCGTTCGGAATCGGGGGGTGCACAACCTGAGCGCTAAGGTTTTGTCTCACGACGAAACTAAGGCGCTCGGGATGGGGCTGAAGTTCATACCTACGCCAACCTGGAACTTTTCCATCGAAGCAGACGTGCATCAACTGAATCGACAGATCTCCCTCGATTTTTTCTTCAAGGATAAAGGGTCATCGTCTTCATCCCGTTTCCGGGTGAAGAATCCTAACTGGTGGCCCGAACGGGACGTGGTCCCGGAGCAAGTCTTCAAGGAGGTGCAAGCCGACCTATCTTTCCTGCTGAAGGCGTGTAGGCCCATGCGCGGGCAGAACCTACCACGGAGTGCGCGCACGGCGATACGCTCCCTGTCACTCAACAGCAGCATCGTCATTAAGCCGGCCGACAAGAACATCGGAATCACCGTCATGGACAGACAGCACTACGTTGCTTTGTGCATGGAACATTTGAACGACGAAGCTGTCTATCGTCCTGTCCGTCACGATCCGAGTCCGATAGTACTGCAGCAGCTGATGGAGCTGAAAGCGACATGGGGACCTGCTTTTCCAGACAGTCTTTGGAAATACCTTTTCGATAAACCGCCAGGAGGGTGGCGCCCAGCGGCATTCTACATTCTTCCGAAAATCCATAAGAAAGTACCTGTGGGGCGACCGATCGCTGCTTCACACTCATGGGTAACTACTAATGCGAGTCGTTGGCTGGATTCGCAACTAAGACCGCAAGTCCTAAAACGAGCCACCTACCTGCGCGATTCTCTCTCACTGCTAGCGAAGCTGGAGACTACTGCCTTTCCGCCTGACATTCTCCTAGCAACGTACGACGTGACCTCGCTCTACCCCAGCGTAGCTATAGATCGAGGACTCGACGCGGTTAGCAGTTTCCTGACGAGAGACAACACACAGCTTTCTCAACCGCTTGTGGCTCTACTGGGTTGGGTCATGAGGAACTCCTATTTAGAGTTCGACGGCGAAGTGTTGCATCAAGTGCAGGGCACTGCAATGGGAACTCCTGTAGCATGTGTTTTGCCATACTCTTCATGAGCCGTCTCGATGAGCTGGTAAAGGAGAGATGGACCGGGATGTCACCTTGTTACCACGTCCGTTACATCGATGATGGCCTTATCATTTGGCCAGGGTCGCGATCAGATTTAGAGGAGTACCTGCGCACCTTCAACGGCTTGGATCCGAATATCAGGATCACGTGGAACATCTCGGAGCGTTCGGGTGATTTTCTGGACATGGTTCTCCACAAAGGGCCGCGTTTTACTGAGCGTGGTATCCTAGACTTCGGTACTTTTCAGAAGCCGATGAATAGGTACCTCTATCTCCCCTTCTCCTCCTTCCATCCACGGCACTGCAAGGAGAGTTTCATCCGCGCCGAACTGAAGCGTTACCTGCTACGCTCGACCTCGGTGTCAACTTTCCTAGCAACGAAACGCGCTTTCTTCCAACGCCTTCGTGATCGTGGTTACCCCCCTGTTTTCCTTCGACCGATCTTCAAGGGCGTCCTATTCGTACATCGTGCACCACTCCTCGCCGACACTCTCGCGAACCAGCTTTTGCGACAAACCTCTCTCCCCTCTACACGCGGACCCCTAGTCTTGAAGACGACCTACACACCTGTGTCGGCTCGGCTCGGGCTAGGGGTAGTTTTGAGATGTCTCAAAACTAGATTACTTTCACGCGGTTTTTATACGGAGAAATTATTTGTTGCTTGGAAGGCTGGGTGTAACTTGCAAAAGTTACTTGTTCGCGCGAGGCTCCTGAAGCTACAGTTGGCGAAGATTGAGAATTCCACGTTACGCCTTGAGGAATGAAGACCCGAGCCCCTCGGTCTTTCCAGGGTGCTCTGGATTGGCTGCCCAGATTTCAGCCACGGTTATTTCGCGCCTAGATTTCTGGTTTTCTCGAAGCGTAGTTCTTACTTAAGGGCTTCGTTCCCACTCTTGTTTTTCATTCTGCTAGCGCTGATGAAGGTTTGACTTGGGGCCTGTCCCAGTCGACCGAAACATGTTCGCGTTTTAATCCTATAGTGGAATAAGAGTTCAGATTTCAGATTCTTGGTTGTTTACAGGGCCAAACTTTTACTACTGTCTACCACTTGCTAAAGATTTCTACCAGACTGCAGCTCGCCTAAACAAAGCTTCTATGGGAGGGGTGCAGGTGGAAGGCATCGCAGCATATGGTGGTGGGGGGAAGCATCGTCGGTCTCTGCACCGTAGAGGCACTTCCAAGTGTGTGGGAGGGGAGAGAAGAGAGGAGGGAGGGGAGAGGAGAGGAGGGAGGGGAGAGAAAACATTATATGATAGGGAAAGCATCGTCAGTGGGTGGGCCGTAGAGGCACACTGTGGATTGTTGGTATAAAAAGGCTGCTATAGGAGGGTTGTTACAGCGCAAGGTGGCAACGCACCCCTGATGAAGAAATGACAGCCGTGAAGGGCTGGGATGCAATGCACTTAACGGTCCGGACAGGATGCCGTGGATAGAGGTTTCTGGCTATCGCTGCGAGAAGCTGGGTGGTGAAGGCGTGTGAATCAGTGTCAGCAGAGACTTATAAAGCTCAAGCACATGCTTCGAAAGAACGCAAGGGTGAGACTCACCTCCCCTGAAAACGAGATGACGGTCGAGAAGGCCGGGATGACGTAGAGGCTTCTGCCTATCGCTGTGAGAAGCTGGGTGGTGAAGGAATATGCATCCATAGTTTTAGTGATGCGACCAACTGATGGGTGGGATGGAAACAGGGGAGTGGCGGGAGGAGGAAAGGCAGGAAAGGCAGAGGATGGCTCTTTCTTCCCACTCACATAGCACCCACTCACAAGCACCCACCCACAAGCACCCACTCACAAGCACCCACTCACAAGCACCCACTCACAAGCACCCACTCACAAGCACCCACTCACAAGCACCCACTCACAAGCACCCACTCACATAGCGTTCCCGCACATTCCTCCGTGAGCCTCTCTGCAAGCCCATCACAGATGGTGATTGTGGGCCCAGCTTCCACCAGGAATTCCGTGCCTGTGTGTGACAGACACAGGCAGAAGCGACAAAACGAGAGAGGACAAAACCAGAAGGGACAGAAGCAGAGAAGACAACACTATGAGCAACAAAGGCAGGTGAAAGGAGGGAGGGAGTGGTAGGAAAGGTGGATGTACCTGCGTCAAAGACGGCAGTGCACATGACCATTTCGAGTAGATGAAGGCAAGAGAGATGGGAGGGAGTGGAAGGGGAGGAGGGAGAGGAGGGAGCGGAGGGAGAGGACGTACCTGCGTCACAGACGGCAGTGCACATGACCATTTCGAGCAGATGTGCGCAGAGCGGATAGCCCTGCAGCGCCTCACATGCCTGGTGGGGGGGAGGGGAGGAACAGAGGGGCAGAGAGGCAGAGAGAAGCAGAGGGGCAGAGAATGAGAAGCAGATGCGCACAGAGCGGATAGCCCTGCAGCGCTTCACATGCCTGGTAGGAGGGAGGGAGGCAGATAGGTGAATAGTCAGAGAGGCAGAGAAGCGGAGAGGCACAGTATGATGGGCAGACTGAGAGGCAGACTGAGAGGCAGACTGAGAGGCAGACTGAGAGGCAGACTGAGAGGCAGAGATTGAGAGGCGGAAGATGAGAGGCGGAAGAGGATGAGGGACATAGAATGAGAGGTAGAGAATGAGAGGCACGTGCACGCATGGGCGAATGAGAGGAACAAATAGCTTTAGGGTGCAACATGGCACATGGCATGTGGCACATGCATGGCAGGGTGGGTGGGTGTACCTCAGCTCAAACAGAGCTCCACTCCTGAGAATTCTCAACAAACCGAGCTCCACTCCTGGGATTCTCAAAGGTACCTCAAGCCAATCTCGGTTCCGATCGAATCGAATGTATCTCGGCGCGAGCTTGGCTCCGCTTTGCTGCGCAGCCCGCAGACTCACAGAGGGAGGGTTGGAGAGGTCGATGAGTTTACGAGCAGCAGCGGTGGTGTTGGCGCCCAGGGCTTGTATCGCGAGAGAGACGTTGGATCGGATGTATCTCAGCGCGAGCTCCTCACCCTCACAAGTTGCTGCTGCGCCTTACAGAGGGTGGGTTGGACGGGTCGAAGAGCCCAGCAGCAGCAGCGGTAGTGTTGCTGCCCAGAGCTTCAATCACGAGAGAGACGTTGGATCGGATGTATCTCAGCGGTAGTGTTGCTGCCCGCAGCTCCTCGGCCCAGCTCACCCGCAGACTCACAGAGGGTGGGTTGGAGAGGTCGATGAGTTTCGCAGCAGCAGCGGTAGCATTGCTGCCCAGAGCCTCTATTGCAAGAGAGACGTTGGATCGGATGTATCGCAGCGCGAGCTCCTCGCCTCCGCACAGCCCGCAGCACGTCATGTTGTCCTCCATCGCGCACCGGCGCTGCCACACGGCCGCCCCGTTACTAGCCGCCCCGATACGAGCCGCCTCGATATAAGCCCCATTGATGTCCTCGGGGCGCTCACCGGTAATAGGGCAGTGGGGGTAATCCACTACCTGGTAGTACACGTCTGGTTGTGCTGACGCCGCGACGAGCAGTAGGAGGAACGATAGGGCCGTTAGGATGGGTGAAGGGTGTATAGGGAGGGTCGACATGACGGATGGAGGAAAGGCTCACGTGGCGAATCTATGCTTTCGCGCCATAAGCAGAGTCGCGTCGCGGACTCGGAGACGGGGAGTATCAATCGGAATACGCGTTACTAACCTCCCCGGCGAGGAGTCTCCTAGTCGGAGGTCATGCGTGTTTGACCTAGAAGATTCGTCAGCACACGCATTGCTAGTATCTGAGAGCGGCGGTACTTCTGTCGATCAAAATCAAGGAGGACTCGAGAACGCTCTGAGCAAAATAAAGGTGATCTGCTAGGCATTCCGGAAGTTTTACTGCTCCCGCCGAGTGCGGCGCGGCTTGGGAGGTACTGTACTGTAAGCTAATTGTCGGCGGAGCACGCTTTTCCTCGCATGTCCCTCTTCCTCGCATGTCCCTCTTCCTCGCATGTCCCTCTTCCTCGCATGTCCCTCTTCCTCGCATGTCCCTCTTCCTCGCATGTCCCTCTTCCTCGCATGTCCCTCTTCCTCGCATGTCCCTCTTCCTCGCATGTCCCTCTTCCTCGCATGTCCCTCTTCCTCGCATGTCCCTCTTCCTCGCATGTCCCTCTTCCTCGCATGTCCCTCTTCCTCGCATGTCCCTCTTCCTCGCATGTCCCTCTTCCTCGCATGTCCCTCTTCCTCGCATGTCCCTCTTCCTCGCATGTCCCTCTTCCTCGCATGTCCCTCTTCCTCGCATGTCCCTCTTCCTCGCATGTCCCTCTTCCTCGCATGTCCCTCTTCCTCGCATGTCCCTCTTCCTCGCATGTCCCTCTTCCTCGCATGTCCCTCTTCCTCGCATGTCCCTCTTCCTCGCATGTCCCTCTTCCTCGCATGTCCCTCTTCCTCGCATGTCCCTCTTCCTCGCATGTCCCTCTTCCTCGCATGTCCCTCTTCCTCGCATGTCCCTCTTCCTCGCATGTCCCTCTTCCTCGCATGTCCCTCTTCCTCGCATGTCCCTCTTCCTCGCATGTCCCTCTTCCTCGCATGTCCCTCTTCCTCGCATGTCCCTCTTCCTCGCATGTCCCTCTTCCTCGCATGTCCCTCTTCCTCGCATGTCCCTCTTCCTCGCATGTCCCTCTTCCTCGCATGTCCCTCTTCCTCGCATGTCCCTCTTCCTCGCATGTCCCTCTTCCTCGCATGTCCCTCTTCCTCGCATGTCCCTCTTCCTCGCATGTCCCTCTTCCTCGCATGTCCCTCTTCCTCGCATGTCCCTCTTCCTCGCATGTCCCTCTTCCTCGCATGTCCCTCTTCCTCGCATGTCCCTCTTCCTCGCATGTCCCTCTTCCTCGCATGTCCCTCTTCCTCGCATGTCCCTCTTCCTCGCATGTCCCTCTTCCTCGCATGTCCCTCTTCCTCGCATGTCCCTCTTCCTCGCATGTCCCTCTTCCTCGCATGTCCCTCTTCCTCGCATGTCCCTCTTCCTCGCATGTCCCTCTTCCTCGCATGTCCCTCTTCCTCGCATGTCCCTCTTCCTCGCATGTCCCTCTTCCTCGCATGTCCCTCTTCCTCGCATGTCCCTCTTCCTCGCATGTCCCTCTTCCTCGCATGTCCCTCTTCCTCGCATGTCCCTCTTCCTCGCATGTCCCTCTTCCTCGCATGTCCCTCTTCCTCGCATGTCCCTCTTCCTCGCATGTCCCTCTTCCTCGCATGTCCCTCTTCCTCGCATGTCCCTCTTCCTCGCATGTCCCTCTTCCTCGCATGTCCCTCTTCCTCGCATGTCCCTCTTCCTCGCATGTCCCTCTTCCTCGCATGTCCCTCTTCCTCGCATGTCCCTCTTCCTCGCATGTCCCTCTTCCTCGCATGTCCCTCTTCCTCGCATGTCCCTCTTCCTCGCATGTCCCTCTTCCTCGCATGTCCCTCTTCCTCGCATGTCCCTCTTCCTCGCATCCCTCCAACAGGCTATCTCCTCGCCATTGGCAAGACCATCACAACCTCCTGCTGCTTGCTGTCATTGCTCCCCTCACACCTTGACTCACCACTTCATGTCATCTCTCTCTTCCCCTCTCCTTCTCCCTGCCCCATCTCCCTCACAGGCTATCTCCTTGCCACTGGCAAGACCGTCTACAAGCTCGTGCTGCTCTCACCCGCATTGCTCCCCCACACCTGGACTCACCCCTTTTCCTGTTTCCTGTGCCTCTCTTCTCCTCCCTGCATCTCCCTCGCAGGCTATCTCCTCGCCACCGGCAAGACCGTCTATGGGCTTGTGCTGCTCGGCCTCATTCCTCCCCATCGTTTGACTGGCCCCTTCACCTGTTCCGTGTCTCACCTCTCCCTCACTCTTGCATCTCCCTCGCAGGCTATCTCCTCGCCACTGCCAAGACTGTCTATGGGCTTGTGCTGCTCGGCCTCATTGCTCCCCATCCTTTGACTCGCCCCTTCACCTGTTCCATGTCTCACCTCTCCCTCACTGTTGCATCTCCCTTGCAGGCTATCTCCTCGCCACCGGCAAGACCGTTTATGGGCTTGTGCTACTTGGCCTTATTGCTCCCCAAATCTTCTTCCAGGTCAGCTCTCCTGTCCCTCGGTCTCGCTCTTGTAAGACGACGGTAGATGCGCTAAGCTTCTCATCTTATCCTTGGGTCTCTCTTCTAGTCTTGGCGCCTTTTTTAGTTTCCGCCAGTTTTATATATTATTGTGGGTCACTTTGCCTTCCGTTCCGAGCGGCACTTCAATCAGAGTCTCGCTCACTTACAGTTTCACCTTGTTTTTGTGATGCTGTGTTGCATCTGGAGTTCTTCTTCTTCCTCCCTGATCCGATGAAGAACGACGTCAAGTACCAGGTAAGTAAGGCAAATAACGTCCAGAACGTTACCAGGTAACGTGTGGTAGGAAGCAATGTGGAGTAGCAGTTAACGTCCAGAACCACATAAACCCCCTGTCGGTGACTTTTGAGTCAACCTAAAAGCCAGGTATAAATTCTTCTGGGCTTATCAAAGGCTGCATTGGCTCGTGTGATATCTGAGTCACTTCGCACTTTCCATTTCTCCTCTCTGTTTCTCCTTGACTCCAATAACCGACCAGATGCATATATCCCTTCATGGTGTTCGGCCGTCTCGGCACAGCTCTGGCTATTTGCAACCAACAAGAGCCAGGGGCACATTGTGTTCACTAATCTCCCCTCCATTTTCTCCTCTCCATCTCCCCCCCCCCCCCCCCCCCCCATCAACTGACCACATGCAGGCTAGCACACAGCCCTTCTTGGTGTTCGGCCTGCTCTGCACAGCTCTGGCTATCGGCAACCAATAGACAAAGTCCTGAAAACACCACCACATCTTGTCACCCTTTGTCTTCCTAAAATTGATATTTTGTTCAATACGCAACTATAGCGAGCAAGCAAGCAGAACTTCGCCCATTATGACTCATCCACCATGCAAGTGGGGATGATTGAATGGGCATGAAGGAATTCATCATTGATTGTGAACGGAAAAAATAGCTACAGGTACAGCACTCAGCAATGTTAAATAGGTGGTAGCAATGGGGAATCAGTGGAGTATGCTGTGGGTAGTGCGGTGCTGTTAAATGTTGGAAAGACAAGTTTAGAAAATAACAAGTGAATCATGCAAGCATGGAAAAATATGCCCCAGCGATGAGACTAGGGCTCTCGCTAGGATTCTGGCCTGTCTGACAACATATGTAAAAAAATAAATCTGTCTTACGTTCAGATTAGGATTTTTTTAAAGTCTGACCTGTGAGATGAAACTTAAACACTAGTCTGAAATATCAGATGATAATTTAACACTAGTCTGTTTTTTTTTTTTTTTTTTTTTTTTTTTTCTTCTTCTTCTTCTTCTTTTTTAATGGTCTACACATCTACACAACTTCTATAAACTACAACCTACAAACTTCTAGCAGTCTCACTTCTACTTGCTGGACATGCAGATTAGCCTACGGTTCAGTCACAATCGCTTCCACTATAATCCTCACTATTGGTGTCTAGGCTATCAAACGGCACTGAAATAGGGTTCTTTTCTTTCCCCCTGTGGCTGAGCCATGGGAACTCTGCATCCAGTCTGGCAGCCTCTGCTACCAGAGCTGCTTCTCGAGCTGCCGCCTTTGCCGCTGCCACAGCAGCTGCTGCCTCCGCTGCTGCTGATGATCTCTTCTTTGTATGCTTGCTATGCCTCTCCCCTCCCGCCAGCAGCACATCATTTGCAGGCCTCCTCTTCTTCGAGGCACGCCACCTCGCTACCAACGCGGGCCACTCCATGTCGTAGCTCAAAAGTGAGACTGACATCAGTTCGTCAAGCTTGGCGTCGCACAAGTTCCCCCGTAGCCAACTCTTGACCACGTTTTGCCGGGAGAACCCACATTCGCACTCCACAGTGCTCAGCGGGAGCACGGCCACAGCGATCCACAAACGCACAATGTTGGGGTGGCTCGTCGTCCAGTCTGGCGAGGAAAGCATGTGCTTCAGGCCCTCCGCAAATCCGACATCCACTTGGTGGGTGCTCATGATTGTCGCGAAGGTTGTGAGCTCTCTCTGTGCTTTGGCCCAGTCCACACCTGTAGGAATGGGCGGGTGGATAGAGAAAGAAAGAAATGAGTGCACTGTGGAAATCCGTAGGCTTACACACGTGGCAAATAAAGACAAGGCTCAGGTTCACATGACTATAGTCCTAACAAACCTGGCAGAGTGTCCGGATCCTCGGGATCCTTTTTGTACATCGCGCGAAGAGACTGCAACCACTGTGCCAGAAGCCGCTCGCGCTTAACCTGTGAATTCGGGTATTAGGATTTTTTAAACAGCTTCGCGCCATTGAGCGACGCGAGATCTTGCAGTCGGAAGTCAAGCCTCCCAATCAGCTCAGCAACAAAGTCGCGCCCCAGCTTCAAACAGGAGTTGATGTCGCGTCCGCTGGTCCGCCCTTCTATAAGGTTTTCATGCAGTATGTAGCGGTGAGTTGTTGGCGCTCCGGTGGCATCCGGGCCTGCAACCTGGACCTCCCGGCACTCCTCTGAGGCGTGTTTACCGAGGAATGGCCCCAGAGCCTCGCCGGCCGATTCCGCAGCAGGCTGGTCGTGTTGTGCACCGTCTGCAGCACATGGGTTGCGCCAATCTGCACAAGCATGAGGGCACAAAGTAGTTTAGTCTTGTTCAAACAGCAGGGTTTGGAGCTTGAACCAGAAACCGAGTCACGTACCTTTCGTCGTTGGAACTTCATGTTGAGCAGGTTCAACTCCTTCAACACGTCGGCAAGCAAATAGAGTAAGAAATGAAACTTGAAACTAGTCACTATAGCATACATCTTACTGTCGAATTCCCGCAAGTCGATCACAACTGCGGGAAACACCGCCACGATTCGCTGTATCGCCTGGCCTCTAGAAAGCCACCTGGCGTCTTTAATCCCCTGCATCTCTATATGTGTCTCGCAAATAACCTCTTGAAGCTCCTTGAAACGGGTATGAACGACAAGGCGCCCGAGAATGTCGGCCACAGCTCGGACCACTTTGTCAACGATCTGTATCAAACATGTGTGTATATTTGTTATAGTTTGGTTAGGCTTAGTGGGGTACTCACTGTGGGGTACAACCCCTTAGGTTTCTCCTTTGTATCTTCCCCCTTCGATAGTCGACACACAACTTTCCCGTAAGATTCTGACATGGTATTAAGAGCTAGGACGTTCCTAGCCTAGGACGATTTTTTTAGGGCCCACCGTTAAACCTTCCGTGTTCCTGCCCGAATCTCGTTCTCTGCTTTTTTCTGCCCGAAATGCGCCCTTAGGTGCATCGATTTTCGCTGCCCCGCGGCCCTGCCCTGTCCTGTCGCGCGTAGCCAGCGAGCAGCCCGTACAGCCCCCGTCTGGCCTTCGCGCCGCCCGTACAGCCCGCGCCACGCCCGCGCGCGGCCCGTATAGCCTACGTTAGGCCCGCGCGCGGCCCGTACAGTCAGCGCTAGGCGTTAGCGCAGCCCGTACAGGCCAAGTCAGGCCCGAGAGCGGCCCGTACAGTCCGCGCTAGGCATTCGCGCAGCCCGTACAGGCCACGTCAGGCCCGCACGCGGCCAGTACAGCCCACGCCAGGCCTACACGCCGCACTGTGCCTGTGTTGCTGCTTCTACTTGCTGCCGCTGCTGCTACTTGCTGCAGCCGCCCCTGCAGCAGCCGCCCCTTGCCCCTGGAGCAGCCGCCCCTGTAGCAGCCGCCTCTGGCCCCTAAAGCAGCCGCCCCTGGTCCAGTCTGTACACCCTCACCACTGCGTCACGCTCCGCCCCTTTGTCTCCCCAGTTGCACGCGTCTGCTCATGTAGCTACCCAGTGTGAGTGTCGCCGGCTGTCGCATGACACTCTCCTGTGGCACCACCGCCTTGGTCACCCCTCCCTGCCTCGCCTACGCAACATGCACTCCCGCCTCCTGGTTTTTGGGCTTCCCAGGTCTATGCTTGCCCTCCCTCCCTCGCCTGCGCCGCCCTGCATTCCCTGCGTTGAGGGGCGGCAGCGCGCCGCTCCTCACTCCTCCTCTTTCCCTCCCACAGAGGCTCCACTGCAGACTCTCCACCTGGACGTGTGGGGCCCAGCCCGCGTCCGTGGACAGGGCCACGAACGGTACTTCCTGCTGGTTGTCGACGACTACACGCGCTACACCACGGTCTTCCCCTTGCAGCGCAAGGGGGATGTCCCTGATGTTTTGATCGATCCGCGCTACTCGTCTCCAGCTCCGCGAGCGGTTCCAGTCGGACTTTCCTGTCCTACATCTGCACTTTGACAGAGGTGGTGAGTTCTCCTCAGACCTCTTGGCCGCCTTCTGTGCGGAGCACGGCATCCGCCAGACTTTCACGCTTCCGGCCTCTCCTCAGCAGAATGGGGTTGCTGAGCGCCGCATTGGCTTAGTCATGGAGGTCGCTCGTACCTCCATGATCCATGCGGCTGCCCCCCATTTTCTGTGGCCGTTTGCGGTCCGGTACGCCGCGCATCAGCTCAACCTTTGGCCCCGTGTCTCCTTGCCGGAGACCTCGCCCACACTGCTGTGGACGGGGAAGGTTGGCGACGCGTCGCGTTTCCGGGTCTGGGGTGCTCGTGCCTTTGTCCGCGATACCACCGCGGACAAGCTCTCCCCTCGCGCCATTCCTTGCGTCTTCCTTGGCTTTGTCCCTGACGCGCCTGGCTGGCAGTTTTACGACCCCGCCTCGCGCCGTGTCTTTGCGTCTCAGGACGTCACCTTTGACGAGTCCGTCCCCTTTTACCGCCTCTTCCCCTACCGCACTGCTCCTCCCCCCCCCCCGCCGCTCTTTCTCGCCCCAGGTCCTCCCCAGGTAGACCCCCTCCCCGCGCCAGGTCCTGCTCCTTCAGATGTCTCTCAGGTAGACCCCCCCGCACCTGCGCCTGTTGAGGTCACTGGTGACTCCGGTCCTGCTGCGAGTGGTGCTGTCCCTGGGGGTGCGGAGCTTGGGGGTGCTGAGTCTGGGGGCGCTGAGCGTGAGGAGCCTGGGGGTGCTGCGTCTGGAGGTGCTGCGTCTGGGGGTGCTGAGCCTGCGTGTGCGGAGCCTGGGGGTGCTGAGTCTGGGGGTGAGTCGCCTGAGGGTTCTGCGACTGCTTTTCCGCGGTCTCCTTGGAGTAGCCGTCTTCGTCCGCGTGTGCCCCTCACCTCCCAGCAGCTGCACGACTGGTACGGTCGCCGTCAGCGTCGCGCTTCTGCACCTCAGGGCTCTACTGCTGGGGGTTCTTCTGCTGGTGTCGCTGGTCCCGGAGGTGCTCGTACTGAGGGTACTGGAGCTGCTGGGGCTGGCGGTGTTGTGACTGAGGGTACTGGCGCTGCAGAGGGTGCTGGAGCTGCTGGAGGTACTGGAGCTGCTGGAGGTGCTGGCGGTGCTGGAGCTGCTGAGGGTACTGGAGCTACTAGCGGTGCTGGAGCTGCTGAGGGTACTGGAACTGCTGGAGGTGCTGGACCTGCTGAGGGTCCTGGAGCTACTGGCGGTGCTGGAGCTGCTGGAAGTGCTGGAGCTGCTGGAGGTGCTGGAGCTGCTGGTGCTGGTGGCACTGCTCAGCAGCGCCTGTTCTTCGCTCCGCCGTCTCCATCGTCTCAGCCACCACCTGACTCTGCACTTCGTCAGGTTCTCAGTCTTCCCTCGTCTACTGGTCTTCCGTTACAGCCTGGCTCACCGCTGCCTGCTCCTTCTCCGTACACAGAGCAGACTAGGGGCCTTGCTGAGCGTCGTGGGCCTGCGTCGCGTCCTATCTCACCTGTCCGTTCTGGTCGTTCCGGTCGTCGTGTTCCTCGTCAGAGCCAGCCGGCTGTCTCCGGCTCTCACCTTGTAGTTCGTCGTCCTTCCTCTCCTCCGCTGCGTATTCCTCTGCCGTCTCCCCCTACGTCCTCTCTGCCTGTCATTGCTGACCCTGCGTCTGACCAGGTTCGTGCTGAGCACTCTACTGTCACGCGTCTGCTTGCCACTGTTGTCACTGACCCGTCGTTTGAGTCTGCTGCTGCGTCTGCCTTAGTCGCTGAGCTTGTTGACTTTGCTGCTGCCTGTCGTCTCGACTACGCTGCCAGTCTTGTTGCTGAGTCTGAGTCTGTCTGTCCTCCGTCCGTCGGGGGTGAGTGTGCTCTTGGCACGGACGTCCTTGAGGATAGACAGGAGGACCTTGAGTGTCTTGCAGCCGCTGCGCCTCATCTCGTATCCATGCTGCTTTCCCCTGAGGGAGACCCGGATGCACGAGACATCCCTACCCCGCGCTCTTACGCTGAGGCGATCGCGGGTGAGTACTCCTCTCAGTGGCAGACAGCCATGGACGCAGAGATGGCATCCTGGAAGTCCACAGGCACCTACGTCGACGAGGTTCCCCCTCCTGGGGCGAACATTGTCAGTGGCATGTGGATTTTCAGGGTGAAGCGGCCGCCAGGTTCTCCGCCTGTCTTCAAGGCTCGGTACGTGGCTCGAGGCTTCAGTCAGCGAGAGGGAGTTGACTTCTTCCAGACCTTCTCCCCCACCCCGAAGATGACCACTCTTCGGGTGCTGCTGCACGTTGCCGCTCAGCGTGACTACGAGCTTCACTCTCTTGACTTCAGCACAGCCTTCTTACAGGGTAGCCTGCACGAGGAGATTTGGCTGCGCCGCCCTCCTGGCTTTACTGGGTCGTTCCCTCCTGGTACCCAGTGGAGCCTCCGGCGGCCGGTCTACGGTCTCCGCCAGGCGCCACGTGAGTGGCACGACACACTGAGGACGACACTTGCGGCTCTTGGGTTTGCTCCGTCGACTGCTGACCCGTCGCTGTTTTTGCGCACCGACACTTCTCTGCCGCCGTTCTACGTTCTCGTGTACGTCGACGACTTGGTCTTTGCCACTGCTGACACTGAGGCTCTCGCCCTGGTGAAGTCGGAGCTGCAGAAGAGACACACGTGCACAGACCTGGGTGAACTGCGCAGCTACCTTGGCTTGCAGATCACCCGGGACAGAGCACGCCGCACCATCACACTGACTCAGTCACACATGGTGCAGCAGGTCCTTCAGCGCTTCGGTTTCACCTGGTCCTCAGCACAGGTCACTCCTCTGGCTACAGGTCACTCGCTCTCAGCTCCACCTTCGGACGAGTCCGTAGAGTCGAGTGGTCCTTACCCAGAGTTAGTGGGCTGCCTCATGTACCTGATGACTTGCACTCGTCCTGACCTTGCGTACCCTCTTGGCCTTCTGGCTCGCTACGTGGCTCCTGGTCGGCACCGAAAGGTGCACATGGATGCTGCCAAGAGGGTACTACGCTACTTGTGCAGTACATCGGGCATGGGGCTCGTGCTTGGAGGACGGGGTGACGTTGTCCTCACAGGTCACTCGGACGCCTCTTGGGTTGATGACCAGGCTACGCAGCGGTCGTCACAGGGTTACACCTTCAGCCTTGGTTCTAGTTCAGTTTCCTGGCGTTCTACACGTTCGTCTTCAGTTCTCGGCTCCAGCTGTGAGGCAAAGATCTACGCCACAGCCATGGCTGCACAGGAGCAGCGCTGGCTCACCTACCTGCTGACCGACTTGGGAGAGAGGCCTCGTTCTCCTCCAGTTCTGTACGTCGACAACAAGGCCGCCATTGCCTTGTGTCAGGAGCACAGACTGGAGCACAGAACAAAGCACATCGCTCTCCGTTACTTTCTTGCTCGAGAGCTGCAGCAGCGTGGCCAGCTTCGTCTTACCTACGTGGCCACTCGGGCCAACACTGCTGATATATTCACCAAGGCGCTTCCGCCTGGTGATCATCAGCGTTTCTGCACTTTGTTAGGCCTTGTGCCCACTCTTCCTCACTTGCTATAGGCCTTGTTTGTACCATGATTTATATGTATTCCTGCATGCTTGTTCTTGTAGGTAGATATCACTGTATTGTTGTTGTTACATATATATTTCTGCATGTGAACTGGGCTTGTGGCCTTCTTGCTTGTGCTCAGACTGCGTGGTGACGTTGTGATCCACCCTGAGCTTGCTTTGCACTTCCTGACTGGTCTTGTGACCCTCTGTTCTCCCCCATTTTGCCTATGGGGGTGTATCAAACATATGTGTATATTTGTTATAGTTTGGTTAGGCTTAGTGGGGTACTCACTGTGGGGTACAACCGCTTAGGTTTCTCCTTTGTATCCTCCCCCTTCGATAGTCGACACACAACTTTCCCCTAAGATTTTGACAATCTGGAGGTCGGGGAATGCGAGTGCCGCATCCTTAGTAGCCAGCGCCTCCCTGCAAGGTCAACCAAAAACAAGTCAGTACACAATCAGGTTTAACTCGCCTGTGAGCGACACAGTGACACGACACGAGATGGGGAATCTTCGACCGAAGGCGCACGACCAACCCGTTGTGCTGGCCCGTCATCACACTGGCGCCGTCTGTGCTCATACAGCTAATACGCTGCAGGTCGATGCCCGTTGTCTCTAGATGCATGAGCAGAATCGTCTGCAGCGAGGCGGCGTCACACTGCTCGACTGTGAGCAGGGCGTAGAACTCCGTGACTGGAAGGTTGTCGCGTAGGAACGTCATGTATACGATCATGTGCTTCCTGCGCCTTCGGTCCGTGCTCTCGTCCAACTGGATCCCGAGATAAGGGCTGGCGCGGATGTGCTTCAGCTGACGGGAGCGCAAGAATCACGCCATCGTTTCCACAAGCTGAGGAAACCCGTACCTGAAACACATAAACAAAGACATGAGGATTGTGCACCGGAAAATCAGAGGCTGGTTTAGCTTGAATTACATAATCCATTCACTCACACGCTGTAGTACGTGCCGTTCTCCATCAAGGGCATGTCAGGAGTTCCCTTTTCAGCCATGAAATGAACAAGAGCCACGAAAAGCACATTAGGTGCGTCAGATTTGCAAATGAACAGGGCGGTTGCCATTAAACGTGCTATTCGCTTGCCGTCGTCGTCGCCCTTGTCGAATTCGACGAGTCGCGAGCGGGATCATCTCCGTTGGTGCGGGCATTGTAGGACCTGCGGGACGGGCAAAGTTAAGCTTCCACTGCTTGTATTTAGCTTTCAGTGAAGCCCTGTCAGGCAGCACAGGGTTAGCTCGTAGAGTGGTGGTTGTTGCTACCGAAACAACAAGGCGGTCGGATTCACGGCCGGAGGTAGGGAAACTCGTCGATATGGGTGTGGTAGCGTTAGAGGAGGAGGGCATGCCATCGTCAATCTGTTCCACAGACAAAGTGTTTGGCGAGACGTCGACTGGCGGTGGAGCCTGGGCAGAGGACGAGGCAACGGGGGGTGCAGCGACGGGGATCTGCTTGCCCTGTGTGAGAAAATATAGTGCTGTGACTCCAGGGGGGTCTTCCTTTTCTGAAATCGCCATCGAGAGTTCTAGTTGCAAGGAAAAATGCACTGCAAAACCAATTGAGTGCAGTGGAAGAAAAGGATGAGGAAGAAGGAGGGTGTGTCCCCAGCCCGGTCCCTCAAACCCTCGTCTCGTAGCTCGTCAGAGTGATGCGCTGTGCGGGGTGTCGGCCGGGAAACACAGTTACGTGCATGCGTGATGCATACATGACAGTCCTTTCCTGGCTTTTTGTTCAAGGAAAGGACTCCGATGCACAAAATTACAGTGTCGGTGCTTTGGTGTGGCTGGCAGCGGCGCGGACACCCACGCAACGACAAAGTGCTGGCAGTTTCTGACTCAGAACTGCTGCCAGCGGTGTTGGTTTCCTCCCGCGAGGATGCTACGAGACAGAAACATTTTTCACGCATGCATGTATACAGGCTGGCAGGTATCGTAACAAGTGGGCCTATGGCTCAGTGGGCAGAAATGTCGGTTTCAGACGGAAACATACTCGTTATCTGGAAACCCATATGAAGAACAGTGTACGGTCTTAAATTTCATCTGAGGTAAAAACATGTGTCTTACTGATCAGACGGCCATAAAATTGAAGTCTTACAGATAAGATGAACAAAGAAAACTAAGTCTGAAAATCAGACTATCAGACCAAATTGGTCTGATAACCAGGCCCCTGGATGAGACTACATTGTGGCTTACCGGTAATTCTAGTTGATAGGAGATTAGAGATAGGGCTGGCTGGACTCCATAAACACAAAAAGTCACATCCTGATTATAATCCCCACCCTCGTTCATAGAGCTTTACGCTACTAGATGAAATGCCAACACTGTGAGCATATCCCAGGCATAGTTTGCAACATACGTTTCTTTTAAGCCCCGGGGCTAAAACAAACAATTCCACTACGGGCTGCACTGCACCCCAAAAAATGGCAAGAATACTAAAAGCCCCTAGGCGCTTCTATCCGATGGGATACGGTAATACATATATCCACCAAACTCCCTGCCAGACAAACTCACCCGAGCATCATTCACTATTCTAGAATTCAATATTGATGCTTTACACAAGCGATTGCGTACGTAAAAGGTGTAGCGGATGAGAATCCAAAAGAAGAACCCTGCAGTGACTAAACAAAGGATGGTATGTGTCACATGTGGGAAAGGCTTGAAGAAAACGAGTGGCTGAGGAGGCTCAGAGGGACGGGGCAGAACAGGAGGCTTGGGGGTAGATGGATTAGGCAAAGGAGGGTAGGCGTAAGGCTTAGCAGCCATGCACTGAGTCACATTGATATTACGGTTCAAGTACTTGATATGAGCGTCAAGACCAGAAGTGTTGGAGGTAGAGCGGTTGAGGTAGGTTGGTGGTGGGGGTGAGAGTGGTGACGATGGGTGTGGGGGTTGGGAAGAGAGCTTGGGGGGCATTGGGAGGGGTGCAGGTTGAAAGGATCGCAGCAGATGGTGGTGGGGTGAGGGAAGGCGTATATTGGTGGGCGGGGAAGGCACTGTGAGAGGGGGGGCAGAGGGAGCGGAGAGAATGGAGGGGAGAGAATGGAGGGGAGAGAATGGAGGGGAGAGAATGGAGGGGAGAGAGTGGAGGGGAGAGAGTGGAGGGGAGAGAATGGACTTGTGACATAATTCTCAGCGAGCGGCAAACATCAAACATCCATTCTCAGAGAGTGGAGGGGAGAGAATGGAGGGGAGAAACATCAACTGAAAGGGGAAGGTGTTGTTGGTGGGAGGGGTGCAGATGGGTGAAGGGATGGCATCAGATGGTTGAAGGGATGGCATCAGATGGTTGAAGGGATGGCATCAGATGGGTGAAGGGATGGCATCAGATGGTTGTGGGGAGGTAGGCATCGTCGGTAGGAGGGCCATCAAGGCAGTGTAGGGAGGGAGGGGAGAGGAGGGAGGGGAGAGGAGGAAGGAATAGAGGATGACCGTAAAGGAAGCAGGTGGCTCTCAAGAATTGTAAAAAAACAAACGCCTGCTACAGGAAGGCTGTAGCAGGAAGGTTGCTAGAGGACGGCTGCTCTATGAGGGTTGTAGCAGGAAGGTTGCTTGAGGAGGGTTGTAAGAGCGCCAGATGGCAACGAACCTCGGATGACGAACCCAAGCTTCGCAAGAACGCAAGGCTGTGACTCACCCCCCTTGTCAAAGAGATGACTGACAGCCGAGAAGGACGGTGAAGGCGCGTGAATTTCTACCAGCAGCGACCCATGCAGCTCAAACACAAGCTTCGAAAGAACGCAACGTTGTGACTCACCCCCCCTGACTTTTGAGGCGCCTCAAAGGCTGTGACTCACCCCCCTTCCTGAAAGAGAGATGATGGCCGAGATGGCCGGGATGCCGTAGAGGTTTCTGCCTATCGCTGTGAGAAGCTGGGAGGTGAAGGAATATGCATCCATGTTGGTGGTGATGCGGGAAACTGATGAGTGGAATGGAAACAGGGGAGAGGCGGGAGAAGGAGGAAAGGCAGGAAAGGCAGAGGTTAGCTCTTTCTGCTTATTGCTGTGACAAGCTGGGTGGTGAAGGAATACGCATCTATGGTGACGGTGATGCGGCCAACTGATCGTGGGAAGCAGAGGAGAGGCGGGAGATGGGGAGGTAGGAGAGGGAGGAGAAGGCAGGAGAGGGAGGAGAGGCAAGCAGTATTGGAAGAAAGGCAAACCACCACTCACTCACAAGCACCCACTCACCCACAACAAGCAAGCACCCACCCACAAGCACCCACTCACAAGCACCCACTCACAAGCACCCACTCACAAGCACCCACTCACAAGCACCCACTCACAAGCACCCACTCACAAGCACCCACTCACAAGCACCCACTCACAAGCACCCACTCACAAGCACCCACTCACAAGCACCCACTCACAAGCACCCACTCACAAGCATCCACTCACATAGCGTTCCCGCACATTCCTCCGTGAGCAACTCTGCAAGCAAGCCCGTCTCAGATGGTGACTATGGGCCCTACTACCACGAATTCCGTGTCTGCGTGTGACAAAACATGGTGTGGAAAAGCCAGAAGGGAACACAATCAGGTGTTACAGGTGTTGCTGCTCCGATCAGTCTGTGTCTCTGAGTGACAAGAGGCCTTCAGCCTGTCTCCAAGCAACTTTTGAGTCGACTCGAAAGTAACCTCGTTACAGTGACAAGAGGCCTTGAGCCTGCCCGCAAGCCCTGCTCCCACCACAGATTCGGTGTATGAGGAGGGAGAGGAGAGGAGGAAGACCAGGTAGCATCTCGAGCAGACCAGGGCCGAGCGGATAAGAAGAGAGATAGGAGGGAGCGGAGGAAACGAGGGGGAAGAGGGAGAGAGGGAGCGGAGGAAATGAGGGAGAAGAGGGAGAGGAGGGAGAGGAGGGAGAGGAGGGAAAGGAGGGAAAGGAGGGAAAGGAGGGGAAGAAGGGAAAGAAGGGAGTGGAGGTACCTGGGTAACAGACGACGTCGCACAGGACCATTTCGAGCAGATGTGCACAGACTGGATAGCCCTGCAGCGCCTCACATGCCTGGAAGAAGGGAGAGAGGAGAGAGGAGCAGAGAATGAGAAGCAGATGCGCTCAAAGCGGATACCCCTGCAGCGCCTCACATTGCTGGTGGACTGGGGGAGGGAGGAGAGGCAGAGGCAGAGAGGCAGAGGCAAGGAAGTCAGGCTTATCGATTTTTGAGTCGACTCAAAAATCGACTCACTACACTCAAGTTTGCTGCTCGCTGAGAACATGTCCCAAGACCAGAGGCAGAGAGGCAGAGGCAAGGAAGTCAGGCTTATCCTCTCCTTCAACTGCCGCGACTCACAGAGGGCGGATTGAGCAGGCCGATGAGTTTTGAGACGTCTCAAAACTCACAGAGGGCGGATTGAGCAGGCCGATGAGTTGAGGAGCAGCAGCAGCGGTGGTCGGTCCGCGGTCTTACAGCGGGTGGGTTGGACAGGTCGATGAGTTCAAGAGCGGCAGCGGTAGCATTGTCGCCCAGGGCCTGTATCGCGAGAGAGACGTTGGATCGGATGTATCTCAGCGCGAGCTCCTCACCCCCGCACGGCCCGCAGCAGCAGCACACTCACAGAGGGCGGGTGGGACAGGTCGATGAGTTTAAGAGCAGCAGCAGTGGTAGCGTTGGCGCCCAGGGCCTCTATCACAAGAGAGACGTTGCTGGATGTATCTCAGCGAGAGCTCCTCGCCCTCGCACAGCCTTAACCAGCGCGCAGAGCAGAGCCACACCACACTCACAGAGGGCGGGTTGGAGAGGTCGATGAGATTACGAGCAGCAGCAGAAGCGTTGGCTCCGAGCGCGCCGATCGCGAGAGAGACGTTGGATCGGATGTATCGCAGCGCGAGCTCCTCTCCCCCGCACAGCCCGCAGCACGTCTCGTGGTCTCCCCACACGCACCGGCGCTGCCACACGGCCGCTCCGTTACCAGACGCTTCGATATAAGCTGCCTCGACGTTCTCGGGGCGCAGGTCGGACAGTCAGGGTAGTCTACTACTGGATAGCCGTCTGGTTGTGCTGACGCCGCGAGGATGAGTAGGAGGAGCGGGAGGGCCGTCAGAACGGTGGACAAGAGGGCCGTTGGCGCGGCTGAAGGGAGCGCAGGGAGGGCTGATGCGATGGCTGACGTGGCTGACATGACGGCTGACATGGCTGACGTGATGGCTGACGTGACGGCTGACGTGGATGACATGATGGCTGAAGGGAGGGCTGACGTGGCGAAACTATGCATTCGCGCCATCAGCAGGGTCGCGTCGCGGACTCGGAGACGCTCGATCGGAACACGCGTTACTAACGTCCTCGGTTAGGAGTTGATGCGTGTTTGACCTAGAAGAGTTGTCAGCGCTTCGCATTCGCAGTGGAGCAGTTTCACGTCGCATTGCTAGTATCTGAGAGCAGTTGTTTTGTTGAACGAAATCTAGGAGGCCCCGAGAAGACTCTGAACGAAACATGCTAGGCATTTGAAAAGTTTTACTTAGCCAGAACCAGCATAGGTTAAGCTTATTATTCACGTTTATTGTAACAAAACACTCATTTGCACGGATCAAACTAAATTACTCTGATATCATGAGTGGTTAGGAGTCTCGTTCCTCGCGTTGGATTCTCAGCTGCTCTTGCCAGTAGCTATGCGCCTGCACCACTCGATCCAACAGGTCCTGCGGCACAGGCTCCCCCCTGCGCTGATGTGGCGCGATCTGAGCCGTATGCACAAGAGTCTTCCACTTGTCCTGAGAGTTAAGGGTTTCGGGGTTGTGAAAACAGGTCAAAATTAGAAAAAGACAAAGAAAGGAGAAAGGAAGAAAGGAAGAAAGAGAAGCACAAGTGTGAAAGAACGTGTAGAAAAAGCACCAAGCAAGTTGTTGTGACTGTATCAAGAGGGGATCGTCATGTGGTATGAGGGATAATTGATGAGTGAAAGTGGGACTGACCTTGAGATCCACATAGGTGCGGTGCTTTGATGTCGCGAATGCCCTCAGCTTCACGTCCCTCCACCTGCAGTGCAGCACCAGGGCAGTGGGGTCCAAAATGGGGGAAGTCGAACAAGTTTTGTTTTTCTGGTCCGATATGGGGGGGGGGAGTTTTGCACCTCCCTTTGATGTGGCAAATGCCCTCAGCTTCACGTCACATCCCTCCACCTGCAGTGCACCAACAGGGCAGTGTAATTTGTATGAAGAAGTGTTTTGAGACGTCTCAAAACACTTCTTCATACACCTGTCTGCTTATTGACTCAACCAACAGGCAGTGCTAGAGACTCTCCCACCCATACCCCTACCCCCTCCCTGCTCCCCCCACTCACCTGCCAGTGCCCAGCACTTCAACAGCGTCCATCAGTGAGGCCATCTCGTTCAGTTCAGGCCATCAGTGCTTTTATGTTGACTCAACCAACAGTCAGAACCAGCATCCCCCCCCTTCCCACACCCACCCTACCCCCCCACGCACACCCTCCTCACCCACCCACCCACCCACCCACCCACCCACCTGCCAGTGCCCAGCACTTCTACAGCATCCACCAGCGAGGCCACCTCGCCCACAGTGAACGGCCGCCTGATCCTCCTCCTCTGCTCTATCAGCTGCAGCACCTGTGGAACCCAAGATCACCAAAACAGCAATGAGTGCCCTCACAAACCCACCTGCCAGTGCCCAGCACTTCTACAGCATCCACCAGCGAGGCCACCTCCCCTACAGTGAACGGCCGCCTGATCCTCCTCCTCTGCTCTATCAGCTGTAGCCCCGCCGCTCCCCTCGACCTCGGATGCACCATCATCGCCCCTCCCCCCACCCCCATACCCCCCCTCTGCAAGTGCTGCTGATGCGGATGCAACACCAGTGCCCCACTCTCCCCTCCTCCTACTCTTCCTGGGTATGCCAACGCCCCTCCTCCTCCGCCTCCGCCTCGGCCTCTCCCTCTGCCTCTCCCTGAGACGGATGGGTGGAGAATCAGAGCACCGGAATGCGCTCCTTTAGAAGCATACCCGCTACTAGAATACCGCCCAAACGGCGAATGATACCCGTCTTCGTCTTCATACTCCTCATCCTCCTCCTCTTCCTCCTCCTCCTCTTCCTCCTTTCCTTCCTCCCCTTCCTGGTAATCCTCATCGTCGTTCCTCCGCCTCCTCCTGCTTCTCCCTCCGCCCGCCCCATCCCCTGGCTCATGCTCTGTCTGCGCTCGAATCGCCGCCAACGCTTGCGCTGCTGCTTGTCTAGTCGTAGGCGTGGTGGTGGTAGCAGCAGAGGGGGCAGATGCAGGAGTGTGAGGGCCAGAGGTGGCAGCGTAAAGGTGTGACGGGGAGAGGTAGGATGGGTGGAGAGGAGTGGCGGGGTTAGAGTGTCTGCGGGAGCTGCCTGGTGTTGCTGCTGCCGCTGCGGCTGCTGCTGCTGCGGCGGCTGCGGCGGCGGCAGCAGCGGCTGCAATGCTTGATCGAGTGTTGTGGGAGGGGTGCGAGTGAGATGGGCTGGAGAGGCGGGGGGGAGAAGAAGGGAAGGGGGGGGAGAGGAAGGGAAGAAGGGAGGGAGGAGAGGGGAGGGGAACAGAAGAAATGAAGGGGAAGAAACAAGAGGGATGCTGCCAAACCCAGCGATGCTTGACCGAGTGTTGTGGGAGGGGTGAGAGTGGGATGGGCTGTTGGGGCGGGAGGGAGAAGAAGGGAAGGGAGGGGAGAGGGGGGGAAGAAATGAAGAGGGGAGAAAGAAACGAGGGAAGCTACCATGACAGTAGCGGCAGCGGCTGCAATGCTTGATCGGGTGTTGTGGGAGGGGTGCGAGTGGGATGGGCTGGGGGGAGGGGGGGGAGAAGATGGGAAGAGAGGGGAGAGGAAGGGACGAAAGGGAGGGAGGAGAGGGGAGGGGAACAGAAGAAATGAAGGGGGGAGAAACAAGGGGAAGAAAAAAGAGAGACGCTGTGAGGAAGGGGTGCGAGTGTGATGGGCTGAATGGGAGTGGGGGACATGAGGGAGGGGAGGGGAGAGGCGAGAGGGAGGGGAGCGGCAGCAAGAAGGAGCCACAGCAGCAGCAAGAGAGGGATCCCCCGGATGCACCAGGGGCGACAGCAGCAGCAGCAGCACAGAAGTGGGGTGCGGCACGTAGTAAGGAGAAAGCAAGGAGAGCAAGCAAGGGGAAAGCAGCAAACTCACGATGCAGCAGACACGAGTGGACCATCAGCCGCCGCCGCCGCCGCAGCCACAGCAGCAGCAAGAGAGGGATCCCCAGGATGGGCCAGGGGCGACAGCAGCAGCACAGAAGTGGGGCGACAGCAGCAGCACAGACGTGGGGCGACAGCAGCAGCACAGAAGTGGCAGTGCGGCACGAAGTAAGGAGAAAGTAAAGGGAAAGCAGCAAACTCACGATGCAGCAGACATGAGTGGGCCATCAGCCGCCGCCGCCGCCGCCACGGCAGCAGCAAGCGAGGGATCCCCAGGATGCGCCAGCGGCGACAGCAGCAGCAGCGGGTCCGGATCAGCAGCCGCAGCCGCCGCCGCTGCTGCCGCCTGTTTCGCAGCAGCTGTAGCCGCGGCTGTAGCGCCAGCAGGAGGAGTAGGAGGGGGCGGGGGGAGCAGCACGGGGTCAGGGTCGAGCATGAAGCTGAGGGAGGCGGCGGCTGCCTGCTTCTGCTGCTGCTGCTGGTGGAGCGCCGCGTGGGAGAGACCCACGTCCGCTAGCGAGGCCTGGTCGTGCGTGCAGCGGTTACCCTGTAACACCATGCGCAGGCGGAGGCCGTTTCCGAAGGATGCTAGCGCTGCCTCAACCACTGCTTGCTGGGATGGGATGGGGCAGGGGGAGTGGGGAGGGCGGGAGGGCGGGAGGGAGGGAGGGAAGGAAGCAGGGAGGGAGGGAGGGAGGAAAGGAAAGAAGGAGGGAGGGGGAGGGAGGGAAGGAAGGAAGGAGTTAGGGTGGGAGCAGCACGGGGTCAGGGTCGAGCATGAAGCTGAGGGAGGCGGCGGCTGCCTGCTTCTGCTGCTGCTGCTGGTGGAGCGCCGCGTGGGAGAGACCCACGTCCGCTAGCGAGGCCTGGTCGTGCGTGCAACGGTTACCCTGTAACACCATGCGCAGGCGGAGGCCGTTTCCGAAGGATGCTAGCGCTGCCTCAACCACTGCTTGCTGGGATGGGATGGGGCAGGGGGAGTGGGGAGGGCGGGAGGGCGGGAGGGAGGGAGGGAAGGAAGCAGGGAGGGAGGGAGGGAGGAAAGGAAAGAAGGAGGGAGGGGGAGGGAGGGAAGGAAGGAAGGAGTTAGGGTGGGAGCAGCACGGGGTCAGGGTCGAGCATGAAGCTGAGGGAGGCGGCGGCTGCCTGCTTCTGCTGCTGCTGCTGGTGGAGCGCCGCGTGGGAGAGACCCACGTCGGCTAGCGAGGCCTGGTCGTGCGTGCAGCGGTTACCCTGTAACACCATGCGCAGGCGGAGGCCGTTTCCGAAGGATGCTAGCGCTGCCTCGACCACCGCTTGCTGGCATGGGGAAAGGGAGGGGAGGTGGAGAGGGGGGGAGGGTTAGAAGTGCATGCAGCGGTTACCCTGTAACACCATTGTCAGGCGGAGGCCATTTCCGAAGGATGCTAGAGCAGCTTCGACCACCGCTTGCTGGGATGGGGCGGAGGGGTGCGGAGGCGGAGGGAGGGAGGGAGGAAGGTAGGAGGGAGGGGCGGAAGCAAGGTTGGTCGTGCGTGCAGCGGTTACCCTGTAACACAATGCGCAGACGGAGGCCGTTCTTGAAGGAGGCCAGAGCTGCTTCGACCACCGCTTGCTGGCATGGGGAAAGGGGAGCGGAGAGGGAGGAGGGGTTAGTCGCAAGTGCAGAGGTTCTCCACATTGAGAGAACAATGCGACTAGAGAGAGGCACATTGAAGCGCCAACAATGCGGAAACTGCTTCTGAGAATTCTCAGAAGTAATTACAACACAGGCACATTAAAGCGCCAACTAAGCGGACTTCCAAAACGTGATAATAAAATTGTCTTGAGATGCCTCACCACAAAAAATCGGGACTTGACGCAAACAAGTAGTGCGAAATCTCTGGACTTTCAACAAGCACTGGCAGGGAATCACCTCAGGGAGTTCCCAAAGGGGACTCTAAGTACGCCTTCTTAAAGAGCCAATTGCATGGGGACGCACCTTGAGTGCACCAACAGATGCTGTCTCTGGCAGGCACACTGAGAGCTCCGGCATTGACAGGCTCTTTATGGAAAAGCGGACTGCGGATGGGGGGGGTGGGGGTGAGGGAGGGGAGAAAGCGGACAGAGAGCATTGGGTGAGAGCTCAGGTAGGCACACTGAGAGCTCCGGCATTGACAGGCTCTTCATGGAAAAGCGGACTGCGGATGGGGGGAAGGAAAAGGGAGGAGACACAAGGGGACGGAAGCTGAGGGGAAAAAGAGCCTGAAACGGACTGACACAACTGGCGCCTACAAGTGCTACATGGACCAGGAAAATTGGCACCCTTTCAGGTGGAGCACCTCCGTCTCTAGGACAATAAGCCTCGTTTTGAGACGCCTCAAAACAGGAAAATCGGCACCTTTCAGGTGGAGCACCTCCGTCTCTAGGACAATAAGCCTTGCTTTGAGGCGTCTCAAAACAGGAAAATCGGCACCTTTCAGGTGGAGCACGTCCGTCTCTAGGACAATAAGCCTCCCAGCTCAGCTCCGCTGTGCTTCCACGGTCCACCTCTCCCACCCCTTCACACCAGTTGGTTCTTGCGAATTTCAAACTACCTCTAGTACGATAAGCCTCCCACCCACCTTCCCTGTTCTCCCACCTCAATCACCCCCTCACACTCACTCAGTGGTTGCTCCTGTCGTCTCCGGTGGTATGCCTGCAGCACAGGCGCAGAGGCAGGGGCCGGCGCACCACCCTCCCCTCCTCCACTTGCTGCCCCTACCTCACCAGCTCCCCCCGCTCCCCCTGCCCCCGCACCCTCCCCTGCTTCTGCTGCTCCAGCGCCCTCGCCTGGTCCCAAGGCAGGCCCGTTGAGCGGTGAAGGCTCCAGTGGTGCTTCAGGCACAGACCCTGTAGATGCTGGGAGGGACAAAAGGGACGAACGGGTCAAGAATTGGATGAGGAACGGACGAAATTGGATAATGGACGGACAGACGCCTTCCCTACTCCCCAGTCATACTTCATACCTCCCCCAGTCATACCTTCATCATACCTTCCCCCAGCCATACCTCCCCCAGTCATACCTTCATACCTCCCCCAGCCGTACCTCGTCGGCCTCTCCCTAGCACACCATCCTTGCTGTCCGTTGCACCAGCAGGAGAAGCAACCGGCGGAAGAACAGCAGGAATAGAACCAGGCACAGCAGCAGCAGCAGGAGAGGAAACGGGCGATGCTGCTTGCTGCTGCCTTAGCTGCTGCTGCTGGTCGTGGTTTTGGCTTTGGCTTGGGGCTTGGGGTTGGGTGCGAGGGGTGGAGTGGTGAGGGGAGAGCAGGGCCGATTGGCCATCCAGGGCCATGAAAGGCAGGCGGGAGGCGGGGCGCGTGGTGCGATGGCGCGTGCGCCGAGTGACGCCTTGGAGGGCTGCAGAAGAAGAGGAGACCAATAGTGAGGGGTTGGACGGGGGGGAAGGGGGTACAGGGGGGCAGAGCAGGGGAAAGCAGGACGGAAATGAAAAGCAAGTGGAGGAAAACGACAGAACGAGGGGGCCAGAGGGTTGCGTGAATGAGGAGGAGGGGAGGGGGGGAGAGCAGGGCTGATTGGTCTTCCAGGGCCATGAAGGGCAGGCGCGAGGCGGGGCGCGTGGTGCGATGGCTTTTGAGGCGCCTCAAAAGCCATGAAGGCCAGGCGCGAGGGGGGCGGCGTGGTGCGATGGCGCGTGCGGCGAGTGACGCCCTGGAGAGCTGCAGAAAGTGGGGTTGCCGGAGGGGGTAACAGGGGGTAAGTGTGAGAGAGTGGAGTGAGACTCTGAAGCGGAGTGCGGGTGGTGTGATGGCGCGTGCGGCGAGTGACACCCTGGAGAGCTGCAGAAAGTGGGGTTGCCGGAGGGGGTAACAGGGGGTAAGTGTGAGAGAGTGGAGTGAGACTCTGAAGCGGAGTGCGGGTGGTGTGATGGCGCGTGCGGCGAGTGACACCCTGGAGAGCTGCAGAAAGTGGGGTTGCCGGAGGGGGTAACAGGGGGTAAGTGTGAGAGAGTGGAGTGAGACTCTGAAGCGGAGTGCGGGTGGTGTGATGGCGCGTGCGGCGAGTGACGCCCTGGAGAGCTGGAGTGGGGAGATGGGGGAAGATAAGGAGTTTGGGTGGGAGATGGGGGATTGGGGGGAGAGAGAAGGGAAGCTGCACCAATCGCGTACGATGAACTTACAGGCAGGCAGAGCGAGCTTACAGGCAGGCAGAGCGAGCTTACAGGCAGGCAGAGCGAGCTTACAGGCAGGCAGAGCGAGCTTACAGGCAGGCAGAGCGAGCTTACAGGCAGGCAGAGCGAGCTTACAGGCAGGCAGAGCGAGCTTACAGGCAGGCAGAGCGAGCTTACAGGCAGGCAGAGCGAGCTTACAGGCAGGCAGAGCGAGCTTACAGGCAGGCAGAGCGAGCTTACAGGCAGGCAGAGCGAGCTTACAGGCAGGCAGAGCGAGCTTACAGGCAGGGTCGAAGGGCTCGTATACAGGAGACGGGACACCATCCCCATCCCCCTGCTGCTGCTGCTTCCGCTTTCGCGTGCCCACCCCTCCTGCCTGCTGCTCTCTCTCAGAATCTGCCCCTTTCTTCGCCGTCCGTCCTTCAGGTGAGGCAATGGCTTGAGCTCCGAGTGCCCTCTCCTCCCCCCTCTGCTGCTGCTGCTGCTCCTCAGCCAGAGAAGGGGAAGGCGCAGCACCAGCGGCAGCGGCGATAGTAGCACCACCAGAAACAGAAACACCAGCAGCTGCAGCACCAACAGCAGCAGAGGCAGCAGCAGCGACAGGAGAAGTAAGACCAACAGCGGCAGTTGCAGCAGCAGCAGCAGCAGCAGAGCCAGGGGAGGAAGGGCAGAGAGAGGGCAGGAGGCCAAGAATGGTAGAAGCCACCATGTCATCATCTCGTGACCCTGTTGACGCCACACCTGCTAATCCCACACCTGCTGATCCAGCTACATCCGCACCACCTTCACCACCACCACCACCTGGAACCACTGGAAGTGCCGCCCCACCCGACTCCACACCTGCGACACCTCCCATCACCGCACCTGAAATTCCATCCGTAGCAGCGTCAGTCAAGTGTTCCGGCACCAACACACCTGCAGCCCCAGGAACCGCAGCACCATCCCCCATCGACACACCTTCGCCTCCTGCCCCTCCGGCCCCTAGCACCCCCCCAGCTCCCCCTTCCGCGCCTTCCCCCCCTTCCCCCCCTTCCCCCAGCACCATGTATTCCACAGGCCCGCCCTCCCCCACGCCCATCTGCTTCTTGAGCTGCTCCTCCTCCTCCTCGTCTACCTCTAGCACGTCGATCTCCTCCTCCTCGTTCGCTGCCTGCACCAGCACCACGTTCTGCATTGCCAACAGACGCATGTCCATCACCTCGTGCTGCTGCTGCTGCTGCTGCTCTGCTGCTTCTGTTGCTTCTGCTGCTGCTGGGACCTCCGCTCCCATATGCTCATGCTGCTGCTGCTGCTGCTGCTGCTGCTGCTGCTGCTCTGCTGCTGATGGGAACTCTGTCTCCATGCCCTCATGCCGCTGCTCCTGCAGCACCTGCTGCTCCTCCGCTGGTCCGGTTGGCAGTGCTGCATTCTGAGTCGTCTCCTCCTCAGCGCCCTCCCCCTCCCCATGCGCGGGCAGCACGGCGTTCTGCAGCGCCAGCAGGCGGAGGTCCATCAGCTGCTGCTCTGCTGCCACGGGCGGCTGTGCCTCCATCCCCTGCTGCTCCTGCTCTGCTGGCAATGGGAGTGCACCAGGAGGGCCACGGTCAGCAGAGCCGTCTGCAGTGTTAATGTCTGTAGCAGCAGCAGCTTCTGTAGCAGTAAGATCTGTTGTCTCAGGGACAGTGGGGTTAGCAGTTGCGGGATTAGCATCTGAATTAATGGCATCTGTGGTAGCGTGAGCAACTGTTGCGTTAGTACCTGTAGCATTAGCGTCTGTAGCAGTAACACCTGTAGCACTGGCACTTGTGCCTTTGGCATCTGTACCAGCAGCACTAGCACCAGTGCCTGAAGTTACAACAGAATCCGTGTCAGTGGTTAGCTGTGCCGACTCTGGTGAAACATGCTGCTCCTCCCCTTGATCCTCCCGCTCTTCCACCTTACTTCCTTCTCCTTCCACTTTCTTTCCTCCCTCTACTCCTTCCAACTCTGAGTTTGATCTCTCCTGTTCCTTAATACGCTCCTCCTCACTCCCCCCCCCTGCTCTCTCCTCCTCCCCCTTTCTCCCTCCCTCCTCATCCTCCTCCATCTTCCCTCCCCCCTGCTCCTGCTTCTCTACTCCCCCACCCCCCTTCTCCAGGGGTTCTACCTGCCTTCCTGCTCCTTCCCCCTCCATATCCTTGGCCGTATCGCGACTCCCTTTCTCCCCTTCACCCTTCGTCCCTCTCTCCTTTCCATCCTCGACTGACCCATTCGTCATAGTCACGTCTACCGTACCCTCCGGACCCTCGTTCCACCCCTCCTTGCCAGAGTCACAGCAACCTTCGACCTTCTCCTCACCCTTCCCTTCACCCTTCCCGTCATCCTTCCCCTCACCCTTCTTCACAAACTTCTCCTCACCTTTCATGTCCCCATCCACTTTCCTGCCTTCATCTCCCCCCATCTCATCATTTCCTCTCGTCTCCTTGTCACCCTTCCCTTCCTCCTCCCCATTCCCACACCCCTCTCCCCCCACGTCCACTTCTTCCGGCCCATCTGCTTCCCCAACACCTTCTTGCCCCCTAATTTTATCTCTCGTATTATTCTCGCCCTCCCCTGCCCCTCCTGACCCCAAACCCTGTTCCCTCCCTACACCCTCCGCTTCAGTCACTTCTACTTTAGACACTTCTGCTTCAGTCAACCCTCCATCAGCCACTCCTGCTTCAGTCACCCTCGTTTCAGCATCCACCTCCATTGCAGTCGCAGCACCATCATCCCCTCGTCTCCCCGCTTCAGCCTCGGCTTTCACTGGCCCATCCTTTTGCAAGACGTGAACTTCCTCACGTACCACCTTCCCTTCCGAACCGTCCGTCCCCCCCGCGCCTTCCCCAAGCTCCTTCTCGCCTTCCCTGTTTTCCTTTCGAGCTCCTTGCCCCTCCGCTTCAACCTTACCCTTCTTGAGACTATCTTCTCCCGTTCGCGTACCCTCGTCATTGTCACCCTGCTTCCCACACTCATCAGCAGCACCGTCTACCTTCGCTTCAATCACATCCTGCAGCGGCTTCTCCTCGGACTCCATCAATTTTGGGTCTGCTATTCAGGGGACCTCGCTTTCGGAATTTTCCTCCACAGAATCCCCCCCCTCCACCCCCTCGATTGTCCCTTTTACGAAAGCAAGAGTTTCTTCCGTGCCTTGACAAACTGTCTTCACACAATTCAGAGGCTTATTGACCGCACGACCTATCGTTCTATCCGCTTCTGCAGACCCGAGTTCCGCCGCTTTGAACTTCCCTCGCGTTGGTAATGCTCCTGAAAGCACGTCGTACTCGCTTTCTGTGTTTTCACACTCAATTGCAGGTACTAAGTCAGCCACGCCCTCGAGCTATGGAAATGACGTAATAAAAAATCCCGAGAGCGAAGAAAATCTGAAGCATAAGAGCGTGAACCTATTTTATTTTCCTCTCCGCTGAAAGTTTGTAATATTTTCTTCTGCAGTAAATGCCGGTAAGCTCGTCCGACAAACTCAAGGCCTGACGTCTCTACGCGCTTAACTTTCTTCAGACATAAAATGGTAAAGAACGATTTATTATCGACAAAATACTTGACAATTTCGTCAAGGTAAAGCGCGGGCAGCACACCCGCAATTTGCGGGACTGCTAAAATGCCAATGGCTGAGCAAAATGTCTAACATCAGCTACAGCGACGAAACCCTGAGATCCAAACCCCAAATGTCAGTGACAGACCCTACCTAACAAAGCCCAGATCCACAACCCTCCAACCCAGGTATTACCGACAGCGAAAAAATAAGATGCAGAGGTGTTACACTTTATCGTAACTATTAGGCGGAGACTTCATAAAGATTTACACTCGACCAAATTTCATAAATATGCCAAACCAATGTTTTACATGGATTAGTTTCTGTAGCATATAAGTATTTAAATTTTCATAATCCTAGTCCAGCGGTATGTTTGTCTGATTTCCAATGACAACGTTTTTACTGAAACAGTTCATCTAATGGATTCTGCAACAGCGAAGATAGCCACACAATCTTGTTGGCATTCGAAGCTCTATGTGTTGCACTCTGACGCACTTTTTCTTTGTCCATCAGGCGTCGCGCCATGGCTGGTGACGACGATAAAGCCGTTGAGAAGGCAGGTTATGGTGACGTTGATATGGCAGAAGAGCCAGATTCGGAAAAATCAGATTCAGAGTTAGACGAAGGCGGTAACGGAAAGAATGCGACCAATGACCCGAAAAAAGAGGATTCGGACGGGGACAGCGATGGCGATGATAGCGAGGATGACGATAGCGAGGATGAGAAAGAGGCAGCGGAGGAGGCGGAGCGAAAGGCTTTGATTGACCAAGTCAAAGCGCGCATTGCATCGAATCCGTACGACTATCAGGCGCACGTTCAGGTACGTGCTCGTTTTTATCCCATCCAGTGATCTCCTTCGCTTTAATTACGTTACGGCGCCTCTACTCTAAGAGGGCTATAGCAGGCGAGAGTTGAGAGTGCTGATGGAACGAAATGGCTGGCCAGTGACAAATGGTCGCCGATTTAGGTCACCGCCTCGCTAAACGATTTAGGTCATGCCTGGTCGTCAGCTCTATTTCTCGAGTGTTAATCTGGATGAGCGCGGCGAGATTCAAGGTGCCTCACTCCAACCCCTCCCTTCTTCCCGTCCCTTTTCTTCCCTCTCCTCCTACCCCCAAACCCCCTATGTCGTGCATCCTCCCTGTTCAGCTGGTCTCTCTTCTGCGGCGCTGCAGCATGCTGGAGGATTTGAGGACTGCCCGAGAGGCGATGAACGCGCTGTTCCCGCTCTCTCCCGCCATGTGGCAGCAGTGGGCTCACGACGAGACGCGCCTCATTGCCTCGTGAGTGTGCCCCTTCAGCCTGCGGCCTGCTGCCTGCCTGCCTTCTGCCTGCGGCCTGCTGCCTGCCTGCCTGCCTGCCTTCTGCCTGCGGCCTGCTGCTTGCCTGCCTTCTGCCTGCTGCCTGCTGCCTGCCTGCCTGCTGCCTGCTGCACAGTGCACTGTAACCAGGCTGATGAACGCGCTGTTCCCACTGTTCTCACACCTAGTCCGGACACAGAGAACTCCAACAGAACCATTTCTGAGTCACCCGGTGGTACGGGACCCGCGCCCGTCTACGTTTCTCCCTGTCTCTGATTCCACATCTCATTTTCAGTCTCGTCATTCCAGTTTTCCACATCACATCTGTTTCTCATTGTGCGCTGAAACCCGCAGAGATGCTGATGTGGCAAAGGTGGAAGCTCTGTACAAGCGTGGAGTGGAGGAGTACGTGGTGAGTCTCTCTCCCCCCTTTCACCTCCGGCCCCTTCTCTTTCCTCCTCCTCCTTCTCTCCCCTCGCATCCTCGCCCGTGCCCTCAGTTCCTCTGTCTTCCCCCCCCCTCCCTCACTCAATCACTGCCTCGATCACTCTTCTCACCTTCCTCCCTCCAATTCCGTTCCCCAATTCTCTCTCTCCACGTGTCCCCATCTACCAGGCAGCCCTACTCCACAGCTTCCCTAATGCTTCCACATCCACTCCTCCCCTGCCTTGCCGTCCCCTCTTTCCCCTCCGTAACTCCCCAGTCACCTCCTCTCTGGCAGGCGTATCTAGCCTTCCTCACCGCCCACCACCCCGCCATCACCACACTCACCCCTGATGGTCTCAAGCTCTTCCGGACCACAGCTGAGCAAGCGCTCTCCCAGGTCGGGTTACACCTGGGGAAGGGCGCATCTGTCTGGGGGACTTTCAGGGGATTCGAGATGGAGGTTCTGCGGAAAATGGAGGGGGAGGTGGAAAAGACGAAGCAGGCCGCCGGGGTGCGGGCGCTTTTCCACCGCCAGCTGGCGGTGCCTCATTTGCAGCTGCCTGCCACGCTGGCAGCGTACCTGGCCTGGGAGGAGGAGGAAGGCAGCGAGAAACTTCCTGCACCCTCCTCCAAGTCGTCTCCTGATGTCGAGAAGCTTCCAGGAAGCGTCAAGGCGGCGTATTTGAAAGCGGAAAAGATGGTGGGGGAGCGGAGGGGGTTGGAGGAGAGGGTGGAGAGGCTGGAAGGGGAGAAGAGGCGAGCAGAGGAGGAGGGGGGTGCTGCTGCACCGGCAGGGGGAGGGGAGAAGGGAGGGGAAGGTGGAGCGAGTGGAGGAAGTGGTGCAGTTGCTACGTTTGAGAAGACAGATGAGCTGATGCAGGCATACACGGTATGGTGATGGGGCATGGTATGGCAACGAACGACGAACCTTCCCAGGAAAGGCTTTCAGAATAATCCCTAGAGGAACTGATTGGTTCTGGCAAGCCCCCTTTTTGTCCCCCCAAACCCCCTACCCAACCCCCCACTCTCCTCTGTCCCTCTTCCCCGTCCCGCCCTCCTCATGCGCCCGCTTTCCTACCCCCCCTCTCTCCCAGGAGTATTTGGCGCTGGAGGCAGCCAGTGGCGACATGCCACGTCAGCAGGCCATGCATGAGAGGGCGGTCACGGGTCTGCCTGTGGTGTTTGACGTGTGGCAGAAATACATTGACCTCGTTGACCATAAGCTCAAGGTGAGTGTGTGTCTCTTAGAAAGCTTTGACTTTGTTGACCATGCCATGACCGGCGCTCAAAATACATTGACCTCATTGACCATCAGCTCAAGGTGCGCGTGTGTGGAGTACATTAGAAAGCATTGACTTGGTTGACCACACCATTGTGCATGATCAGAGGGCAGTCACGGCTCTGCCTGTGGTGTTTGACGTGTGGCTGAAATACATTGACCTCGTTGACCATAAACTGAAGGCGCGTTGAAATGCGTTGACCTCGTTGACCGTAGGCGAGTGTGGAATAAAAACCATTGACCTGGTTGGTTGATCACAAGCTCAAGTCAAGGTGCGCTGAAGGGCGTTGACCTCCTTGACTTGAACCCAAGTGGAATGGACTTGCTTACCTGGCTTGGTCTTTACACACACGTGGCTATTCTTAACAGTAAGAAACTAACTGATATCGTGAGCAACTATTTATGTTGTAGACAAACCTCTGAGAAATTTCCCATTTATGCTGACTTTGTCTTCTTTCCGTTTTCTCTCACTGCTCTCTTTCTCCAGGTGCCTTCTGTAGTGCGCTCAGTTTATTCCCGGGCAGCCCGAAACTTCCCGTGGGTGGGCTCGCTTTGGACCCGCTATCTGCTTGCTCTCGAGCGATTGGGAGCTGCTGATGCTGACATAGCAGAGGTAGGCCTTGTCGTCAGATATATTTCTCTAAAATATAAAAATAAAATTAATATATATAAAAAAAATATCTTCGTGTTGTGGCCCTTATATAACACACCTATTCTTCGTTCTCTCATTTTGTACACCTACAATAAGTTTTTTTTTTTGAAGTCCCTGGTGTCAGGAGTTCAGTCCGCAGACGAGGCAAGGTGCCACCTCCTGCTGTTCACTTTCTCCCTCCTCTCCTCCCATGCTCGTCTCTCTCCGTGCTATTCCACGTGATCCAATCTGGGCTGTGCAGGTCTTTGAGAAGGCCCTTGTCTTTGGAGTTCAGTCCGCAGACGAGGCAAGGTGCTATCTCCTCTCCTCTTTTTCAACATCCTCCCCCTCCTACCCACGTCCCCTCTCCCCATGCTATATCACCTGATTCTCCCATGCAGGTCTTTGAGAAGGCCCTTGTCTCCGGAGTTCAGTCCGCAGACGAGGTGATTCCTCCCTTCCTAACCCAGTTTATCCTCCCATGCTCACCAGCCATAGAAGCCAAAACCAGTCTCAAAGACAAAGCCAGTCTCAAAACCAGTTTATCTTCTCATGCTCGCTCCTCCTTCCTCAACTGTCCCAACCTCCTCTCTCCTCTCCTCATCTCTCCTCACCTCTCCTCATCTCTCCTCACCTCTCCTCACCTTTCCTCACCTCTCCTCACCTCTCCTCACCTCTTCTCAGCGCTCCCCCTTCCCTATCTCTTCAAGGACTTAGACAGTTCCTTTGCTGCCTGCTCATTTCCCCTCCACCACTATCGAAGTGTTCTGCCATGTTCCTCACTCGTCTCCATGTTCGTTTCTGTCACCTAATTATTTGCTATTTGCTGCTTCTGCCTCCCGCCTGCCCTGTTCCCCGGTGCTCCAGTACTTGCGTTTTCCTCACCCGCCTGGACGGCTTGAGGCCTAGTTTTGAGGCGCCTCAAAACTAGTTATTTGCTATTTGCTGCTTCTGCCTCCCTCCCGCCCGCCCTGTTCCCTTGTTCCCCGGTGCCCCAGTACTTTGAAGTTTTCCTCACCCGCCTGGACGGCTTGAGGCGTCGCCCTATTGACGTCACAAACGCCTTTCCTTAAAGTTCATCTATTTGCTGCATCTGCCTTCCTCCCGCCTTGACCCCCCCGGTGCCCCAGTACTTTGACGTTTTCCTCACCCGCCTGGACGGCTTGAGGCGTCGCCTTATGCCGCCTTCTGAGCCATCCAAGGGCGCTTCTAAAGGAGCTGCTCTTAGCGAGGATGAGAAGTCAAAGTTGGTAGCAGCCATGCGAGCAACCTTTGAGGTATGCCGTGTGATTGAAATACCCACGTTACCCGTCCTTTCAGCCTGTAGCTGAGCTCATATGGCCTCATACCCCCCCCCCCCCAAGCACCAGCAAGCAAGCCCAGCTGTAACGCATAAGGGCCAATAAAAAATTAGGCCTGGCTATACTGCTTAGGGAACATCTGTACCAGGCGAACATCGAGACATTTAATGTAAAAGCCACCCACCCACCCACCCCACCCCACCCCACCCCAACCCACCCCACCCGACCCCACCCCACCACCTGGTTCGTTCTCCACCATACCCACCTCATGCTCCCTCCCCTCCTTGATTCCCTTCTCTTCACCTCTTCCTTTCAGTGCGCACCCGAGTTCATGGCCTCGTATTCCCCCCCTGCCCACCAGCACGTACAGCCTGCACCTGGCGGGATACCAGGCGCACATAGCCAGTGCCTCTCTCGCTTTTGAGGCGCCTCAAGGTGATACCGGGCGCACATAGCCAGTGCCTCTCTCACTTTTGAGGCGCCTCAAGGTGATACCGGGCCCACATAGCCAGTGCCTCTCTCGCTTTTGAGGCGCCTCAAAAGTGATACCAGGCGCACATAGACAGTGCCTCACTCGCTTTGTGTCTCCCTCCCCTCCTTTCCCACCTTTCCCCTCCAATCAGCACGCAGCTGAGTTCATGGCGTCCTATTTCCCCGACCACCAGCAAGCCCAGCTGCATTGCACCTGGCGGGGTACCACACCTACATTGAAAGCCACCCCACTTGGTTCCCCCCCACTGATTCTCGCTTCCCACCTTGCCCATCCTTTCTTGCAGCGAGCAGCTGAGTTCATGGCCACGTATTTCCCCGACCACCAGCGAGCCCCGCTGCACCAGGCAGGGTACCAGGCGCACATAGACTCTGCTTCTCCCTGTGTTCCGCTCCCATCTTGTCCCCCCAACAGCGAGCAGCTGAGTTCATGGCGTCCTATTTCCCCGACCATCAGCAAGCCCAGCTGCACCTGGCGGGGTACCAGGCGCATATAGAATGCCAGCTGGGGACAGCAAGGGAGGGGGCTCCTGGGGGAGGTGCAACTGGAGCGGCGGGAGAAGCTGCCGGAAGGGCCATCTGGGAGCAATTCGTGAGGAAGCAGTAAGTCAGTATCGGGTCGTTCGTTTACGCTGCTGCTGCCGCCGCCACTGCCACCGTCGCTGCCGCCGCAGCCGCTGCTGCTGCAGTTTTAATTGCTGCTCCCATACTGCTTCCCATGGTTTAGGTTTTAGGGTTTAAGCCTTGCTGGGCTTCACATTAGTTGGGATAGGGATTACCTTGACCAGTGAAACATTCTAGAGAGCCGCTGCTTGTATCGCCTCCGTTACCCTTGTCCTCAACAACATTTCATCGGTCTCACCATACCTATCCAGCCTTTGTGTGATGAGACGATTTTTTAGGCGACTTAAAAAATGGCTCACCACACCTGTTCGGCCTTTGCTCATTCCGCCACCAAACGAAGATGCTCTGTGCTTCCTTTATATGCTCGAATATGGTATTCGAACAAAAGAAGATACCAGTTAATTGCTCGCATACACCACTTTTTATATGGTATACCTCCTTATCTGCCCTATCCCAACAGTGGCTCCTCCCACCAGGCCTGGCTGGCTGTTGCTCAGTTTGAGATTGAGAGAGAAGGGGGGTGCTACAACCAATGAATCGCCTTGGCACCACCCTCGCTTGTCTCCCCTCCTAACACTCCCTCTACCCTATCCCAACAGCGGCTCGTCTCACCAGGCCTGGCTGGGCTTCACTCAGTTTGAGACCGAGAGGGGGTGCTACAACCAGGCACGGTCGGTCTTCCGTCGCTGCTACAGCCGGAAGTTTGATTCGCCCTCAGGCACAGAGGTATGGGGTCTTCTTATTAGACGCCCCACCCCATGTATAATGTGTCTCCCAATGCCTTTGGGGACGTCTTAAAGTCCTCTCCTTACACACGGATTTTATATTGACTATACTTTTTAGGCACCTCGTGTTTATTTTGTCTCTCAATGCAGGAGTTGAACTCCTGAGGCGGCTCAAAAGTTCCTTTTTTCAGGCGCCCTACATATATTATGTCTCCCAATGCTACAGCCGGAAGTTTCTCTCTCTCCCAAAGGTTCTTTCTTCTATATGTATGTGCATGTGTTCTGTGCTGTGTTTGGATGTGTGCTATTGAGACGTCTCAAAACACTTCTTCAATCATTTGGATGTGTGCTATTGCATTTGTGTCAATGCATGCAGGAGGTTTGTTTGGCATGGATTCGGTTTGAGAGGGAGTGGAAAACACCGGTAGATGATTTATGAGTCGATTCAACAGTCACCTGGACCTGAGCGTGTGTATTTCAAACTGTCCTTTCTATTAATGCGGATGTGTGTATTTCTCTCTCCTCATGTATCAATGCATGCAGGAGGTGTGTTCAGCTTGGATCCGGTTCGAGAGGGAGTGGGGAACACTTGGGGACCTCGACCTTGCATCAGATAAGGTACTGTGCAGTCTAGGAAAAATGCTTCAATTCGCCTAGTCCAAAAGAACAATCCAGGAGGGACGGGCTTATAAGGAGCGCATATGCTTTTTAAGGAGGGGATGTTTATGAGGAGGACGTGCTTGTAAGGAGGACGTCCTCCTTAGAAGCACTCCATTCCCTTCCTGCTGTTTCTACTCTTGAAATAGTTGTTGAAAGTGAATCTGGCATAGGTGTTTCTACCCTCTCCTTTCGTTTCTCTTCAATTCTTCCCTCAGGTTGCCCCACGTTTGGCTGAAGTAGCAGCATACCACTCCCAGGAGGATCAAGCGCAGCTGTACCAACAGCTCTCTCTTCCTTCGGTTTTCACCCTCCCCTGCTCTCTCTCCTTTGTCCGCTCGTATCAACAGGTTGCCCCGCGTTTGGCTGAAGTGGCAGCATACCACGCCCAACAGGATTATCAGGCTCAGTTCTACCAACATCGCTCACTCTTTTCCCTCCCTTCCTGTTGTTTTTACTCTCTCCTTCCCTCAGGTTGCCCCGCGCTTGGCTGAAGTGGCAGCATACCACTCACAGGAGGACGAAACCCAGCTTTACCAACAGCAGCACTTGCTGTCCTTCCCTGCTGTTTCTCCTCTCCCATGCCCTCTCCTCAAACTTGTATCATCAGGTTGTCCCGCGCTTGGCTGAAGTGGCAGCATACCACACCCAGGAGGACCAAGCACAGCTGTACCAACAACACCGGCAGCAGCAGCAACAGAAGCAGCAGCAGGAGCAGAAGCAACAGGCGCAGATGGAGCAAGGGCGTGGGCAAAAGCGCAAGGCAGGAGGAGGGGAATCACGAGGAGGAAGGGGAGAGAAGGGGAGAGGAGGAGGAGCTGGTGGGGGAGAAGGTAGAGGGGGAGGGGAGCGAGGGGAAGAGGCTGGGGGAAGAGACCGAGGCAAGAGGCAGCGTCCAGGATTAGGGTTTGACAAGAGGCAGGGGCGAGGGAAGGAGGGGTTAGGCAAGGAGGGAGGTTCGGCAGGCGATGGTTCAGTAGAGGAAAGGAAAGAAGCTGTGGGTGAAAAAGGAGAGGGAGGGGAGAAGGCCGAAGATGGGGGAGAGGAAAAGGAAGAGGGAAGGGAGAGACAGGAGCAGGGAGGGACAAAGCATGATGAGAAGGAAAAGGAGACAGAGGAGAAAGGGGGAGGGGAGCAGGGGCAGCAGGGGCAGCAGCAGGGCCGTTTTTTCTCGGACAAGAATACAGTGTTCCTCTCGAACTTGGATCTCAGTGTGAGTCGTAGCTTAACTTACTCTCAGTTCTGCTGGTCTGCATTCGACTGGTTGTGTCTTCCCGTTGTGATTTTTTATCTAAAAATTTGAGTCGACTAAAAAAATCGAGACCATTGGGCTGCTTAAGGGCAGTGACCCATTTTAAGGCACCGCAAAAATGTTGAATCGCTTTTTTCCCTCGTTTTTTTCTCTCATTTTTGTCTCTTCTATCTTTCTCTCTCACCACCAGACAACTCAAAACGAGATCCAAGAGCTGCTGACGGATTGTGGCTGTTGAGGCGCGTCGATAGTTGCATCTCTCTCTCTCGAATGCCGCCTATCTCTTCTGTCTTTGCCTCCCACCAGACGACTCAGAACGAGATCAGGGAGCTGCTGAAGGAGTGTGGCGAGATCCGGGACGTGCGGATGGTGTTCAACCACTCCACTGGGCAGTTCCGGGTGAGTGTGCCACGTGGGAGTTGGGCTGAGTGGCACATGGCAGTTAGGGTGGGTGCCACGTGGCAGTTAGGGTGAGTGCCACGTGGCAGTTAGGGTGAGTGCCACGTGGCAGTTAGGATGAGTGCCATGTGGCATTTAGGGTGATTGCCACACAACAGTGCCACGTGGCTGTTGGGTTGAGTGCCAGCAATAGTAGGGGAAAGGCTCCCGACGTCTCTGGTCATTCTTTGGTGCTCCGTGCGTGTAGAGCTAGCGAGTGTCGAGTCGAGGCTGACCGGCTTGACCTCATCTCAGGGCCTCGTCTTTGTGGATCTTGGCAGTGCATAGGCAGCCTTGACTGTATGAGCACTTCTTTCGCTCCCCTCTCTTCTTCGCCTACACCCTCTCACTCTTCTGGGGCTTTGCCTATGGTGGAGTTGGGAATTGCAGAGGCTGTTTTCGTTCATTCAACTGAATTTCCACCCTGTTCCTCCGCTCCCCTGGGTTTCCCTCCCCCCACGTCTTTGCCTACACTCTGCTCTCTCCCAAGTGTGCAGGGCTGCGCCTACGTGGAGGGCAGTGCAGAGGCGGTGGCAGCAACAATGGCAGGGTCTATCATCCATGTGGAGAGAGAGAGTGAGGGATCAACAGCTTTCTATCCTCTCGCTCTTTTTTCTTCCCTCTCCCTCCTGTTCAGGGCTTCGCTTACGTGGAGCTGGCTGGTGCAGAGGCGGTGGCAGCAGCAGAGAAGCTCAACAGGACGCCAATGAGAGGGCGCCAGGTGTCCATCAAGAAATCGGACCCCAGTCATGGTTTGGGGCACAGGGACAGGGGCAGGGGGAGAGGAAGGGGTTGGGGCGGAGGGGGAGGAGGAGGGGGGAGAGGGAGGGGTGGTGGAAGGGAGGGGCATGATGAAGCGGAGGAGGAAGGTGAGGGCAGCTGTTTCTTGTTACCCTTTCTGCTGGCTTGGTGCTGTTTCTTGAGCTATGAGTTGGCGATTTCATGGCTCGTTTTACTTGTCACGTTCTACATTTCTTAGGTTGGAGTGGGGGATATATCAGATCTAGCTCCCTCGTATGCCCTCCCACCCAATTGCCCACTCCCTTCCTTTGCTTATCCTCTTTCCCTCACCCCTCCACTCCCCCCCCCACCCCCCCCCTCGCCCCCCTCCCCCAAACTCCCCGCACTCCCCTCCTTGCAGCCTATCATCCGTCCACTCGGGGCAGCAGAGGCGGGCGGGGAGGCCGCGGCTTGCAGCCTTTGTCAGCTAGTGCCAGGCGGGGGGGTCAGCTGCAGCTGATTGGCTCTCCCACCTTCGCCATGCCTCGTGCGGTGGGACAAGCTCTAGGGAGAGGTGTGGCTGGGAGGGCAGGGGGGAGAGCAGGGGGGAGAGCAGGGGGGCGGGGTGGTATGGGGAGAGGACAGCAGGGGGAAGGGGGGACAAGAGGGGAGGAGATGGGTGGAGGGGAGAAAGGAGAGGGTAAGGGGAGTGGTGGAGGGGGAGAGGAGAATGGGGGGACAGGAGGAGATGGTGGTGATGTTCCACTTGATTCTAATGCTGCCTTCAGAAAGCTTTTTGCTAAGAAGCTTGAGAGCTGAAGGCATTATCGTCATTTCAACTGTTGACATCTGGTTTGATTCAGCGATTAGGGTGCAGTGCACTTAATGTTTGGACCATGCTCTTTGAAAAAAAATTGTAGTACTGGAATTATGTCACTGTGATGATAACTCTCTATTGAGCTACCAGACTGTAAACTGGTGAGTGGGCTGAAGTGCATTGCAAGCATAGCCTAATCCATATCTTAAAGAACATAGCGCCTACATCGCAGTTGATGCTCTACGGTGCAGTGGATCCTCCTCTAAGGCATCAATTTGATTTTCTCCTTGGATCAGCGGGAAAAGCACAGTGCACGCACCGAGAATATTCCCTTTTGCATCATTGGTCGAACTGTTGTTTTTTGTGAGCCACATGTCACTATCCGATCACTTCAACCTATCATTATGCATCCTTCCCCCGTCGCGATGTTTACTCCCTGCCCGCGCTCCGTTTATGATTCCACCACCACACCGCGGCTGCTTTTGAAAGCTTACGGCTGTTTTAGTTCGGTTTGGTTTGTTTCGGTTTGTTTGGGTTCGGTTTACCAGCCAACTGAAATTTCAGTTGGTGGTGGTGGCACGATCTCACGGCACCATGCTGCCGCCGCCGCACGATGGCAGCATGACGTTGTGGCAAGAAGGAAAATTCTAATTGGCACGTGCCACGTGGAAGGGACCCACGGTAAACTTTCAAGGTTACAGTATGTGCTAGGGAAAACCTGGCCGGTTGTTTCATGCATTCTTGCTCTGGCTTAGATTTCGTGGCAACAGAAAATGCGTTTTTCATTTCCATGGTGGACATTGTTTTAATGCGATAATCATGGTTGCAGAACGGTCTGACATAATCTAACTTCGGTACCTCGTTTTCTCTCTTCCCAACCAATCCATGGCGGCTTTTCAGAAACAGCCGACTGCAGATTTGCGTGTCAAGCAGCCCCATCCAGCCAGCCCCTGAACCGGCAATATAGGTTGCTGGGTGGGACCCCGATCGTGCGCCTCATGTGCAAGAAGGAGATCACCATCCCATTGCATTTCTCACTTTTGAAGCAACGGATTTCTGTCCAGTAGCATAATCCTATTTTACAACAGCCGCATAATCCTTCACGGCAGTGGCGCTGCTTCTGTTGCGAGCTGCTGTTCGTGACAACCGTGGTTCCCATTCGCGCAAGATACTACTAAAGCAATAAAAGCGGGCATCCGTGCGCGTTTCTCGAGTTCGCAAGTAAGTCGGCTCGAACACGTGTCAAGGAGGCGGAATAAAAAATAACGTAGTGATTGTCACAGATTCTCGCTCAAGTTGACCAACGATGAGGCGTAGGGACAGGAAGCACCAAGGAGCACTAGTGACCTAACAGATTACGTTTAAGTGGACTTTTAAGTAATCTCGTCAGGGCTTTACAAAAACTCTTGAAGGCAAAACGACGATTTAGTACTTTTAGAACGTCAGCAGTAGGCATTGGCGCAGCTGATTAGGTTACCAGGTTCTCGTCTACTGCCCCCTTTTCCTCTTGACCAAATCATCTGACACACGGCGATGCCCGCTGAGGTGGCAGTAGCGGGGGGCTTCACTGGGGCTTCGACGGCGATCACCTCCTGTAGAGCGCAAAATGGGCAATCGACGGCTCTGGCGAGTTCAACAGTGTGCACTGTACGGAGATGCGCTGACTTGCGGACGACAGAAAGACCGACGATGACGATGACAACAAACGTAGCATCGTGTCAGACAGCAAATCGCGCGAGGCTACGGCTGTGTGACAGCGGCAGCGGCTTGGATGCTTTCGCATACTGCCGAGCGACGCGACGATTTCTTGCAGAGCCAATTGTGCGACGCCGTGCGACTGCCGGGTGCGAAAGGTCGGCGATGCTGCGATTCCAGATCAGGGGACCGTCAACCACGGCGACGCCGCGTCTCGACGTTAAGGTGGGCATGCTGTCGCTCATCCCGTCGCTCACCCTGTCGCTCACGCCGTCACTCACCCTGTCGCTCCCCCCATCGTTCCTCCCATCAGGCATGCGACGGCGACGACAGCGATGACGTGGACACGAGCGCCTTTTCCTCCTCCGGCAACAGCGCGCTACACCGCGTGTTCGGCTCGGCCGCGGTGACTGCTGACGTGTCTCTCGCGGACGCATTGGACGAGCGTAGCGGCGGCCCGGAGGAGCGGTTCGGCGTGAACGGGCGGCGATTAAAGTTCAAAGTGGGCGGCTCGGAGGAAGCTTCGTCGGAGCTTCTTGAGGCAGCCGGGTCGACGGCTAAGGAGGTTGAGAAGGGGGTAGAGGCGATGGGGTCGGCGGCGCTTAAAACGCGGGAGACGGAGAGAGCAGTGGAGAGTGAGGAAGAGACGAAACGAAAGATGAGGTGAGGAGATTTGTGAAGAGAGTCTAAGAGGAGGGAAGTTTTTAACTCCGCGCTTCTTCACTAACCCCCTTCGCCCCCTCCCCTTTCCCTCTGCTTCCTGCTCCACTCTGCTCCCCCTCCCCTTTGTTTCCCCCTTCCCCTATCTTTCCCCCGTCCCCCTTGCCCCCATCCCTCTTGCCCCCTTGCTTCCCTCCGAACCACAGGATATCCCACGGCCGAGTCATATCAATCCTCCTCTTCCTCGCCCTCCTCTCCACGCTCCTCCTCGTCGATTCCTTCATCTGGCGCCTCATCCGTCGCCCCCTAGCCGCTTCTAATCCCCATTTCTCCCCCTTTGCCCTATTCCTTCCCACCTCACTCAGGATATCCCACGGCCGAATCATATCAGTGCTTCTCTTCGTCGCCCTCCTCTCCACCCTTCTCCTCGTCGACTCCTTCATCTGGCGTCTCATCCGCCGCCCCCTAGCCGCCTTCTTCCTCACAATCCCCTTCCTGGCCGCCGCCGCCACGTCAGCATACGCGGGCGCCATAGCCATCCCGTTTCTCCGGTCGCTTAAAGCCCAGCAGGTGGTGCGAGAGGAGGGCCCTGCCACGCATGTGACTAAAGCGGGGACGCCCACCATGGGGGGGCTGTTCTTCGTGCCGCTGGGTGTGCTTGTAGCGAGGGTGGCGACTGGGAGTCCGCCTGAGCTGGCAGGAGTGACAGCGGCAACGGTGGCGATGCTGCTGGTGGGGGCGGTGGATGATGGGTTGTCGCTCGCTAAGAAGCATAACTACGGGCTTACACCGATGGGGAAGCTGGGTCTACAGGTAAGCAAGCACACAGGTAGGAGGGAGGGAGTGACAGTGGCAACGGTGGCGATGCTGCTGTTGGGGGCGGTGGATGATGGATTGTCTCTGGCGAAAAGGCATAACTATGGCCTCACCCGGATGGCCAAGCTTGGGTTACAGGTAAGGATGCACACAGGTAGCAGAGAGGGGGAGACAGTGGCAACGGTGGCGATGCTGGTGGTGGGGGCAGTGGATGGTGGGTTGTCTCTGGCTAAGAAGCATAACTATGGCCTCACCCCGATGGCCAAGCTTGGGTTACAGGTAAGGAAGCACGCAGGTAGGAAGGAGAGGGGGGAGGGAGAAGAGAGGGGTTGCAGTGGCGACGGTGGCAGCAACAGTGGTGATGATGGTGGTGGGGGCGGTGGAAGAGGCATAACGATGGCTTTTTAGACGTCTCAAAAGTAGCAACAGTGGTGATGATGGTGGTGGGGGCGGTGGAAGAGGCATAACGATGGCTTTTTAGACGTCTCAAAAGTAGCAACAGTGGTGATGATGGTGGTGGGGGCGGTGGAAGAGGCATAACGATGGCCTCACCTGCAGGTCAGTGGATACACGCCACAGCTAAGCTTGGGCCTCACCTTGATGGGAAAGCTTGGCTCTCACCTTGATGGGAAAGCTTGGCTCTCACCTTGATGGGAAAGCTTGGCTCTCACCTTGATGGGAAAGCTTGGCTCTCACCTTGATGGGAAAGCTTGGCTCTCACCTTGATGGGAAAGCTTGGCTCTCACCTTGATGGGAAAGCTTGGCTCTCACCTTGATGGGAAAGCTTGGCTCTCACCTTGATGGGAAAGCTTGGCTCTCACCTTGATGGGAAAGCTTGGCTCTCACCTTGATGGGAAAGCTTGGCTCTCACCTTGATGGGAAAGCTTGGCTCTCACCTTGATGGGAAAGCTTGGCTCTCACCTTGATGGGAAAGCTTGGCTCTCACCTTGATGGGAAAGCTTGGCTCTCACCTTGATGGGAAAGCTTGGCTCTCACCTTGATGGGAAAGCTTGGCTCTCACCTTGATGGGAAAAGTCACCTCGTTACCATGGCACATGACACATTTTGAGTCGACTCAAAACCCACCATCCACCCCGATTGCCAAGCTTGCCTACCCCCACCCCCTCAGGTAGCAGTGGGACTGGCCCTCGGCTACTGGCTGGTTGCACGGGGGGCAAAACAACCGTGCTGCTGCCGCCTTTTCACAAAGTCCTCACAATCACTTCTCTTCCTTTATTCCCCTCACCCCTCTATCCTCCCCCTCCTGCGCTACAGGTGGCAGTGGGACTGGCAATCAGCTACTGGTTGCACGGGCCGAACCTGCAATGCTGCTGCTGCCTAGTCACTCCTACTCTTCTCCTTTTCCTCCCCTTCTCATCCCCCCCCCACTTTCCTTACAGGTGGCAGTGGGACTGGCACTCAGCTACTGGTTGCACGGGGCAAATCTGCAATCGCCCTACTCCATGTATGGCTTGGGTTTGGTTTGTTGATTTTTCCTTTCCTTTACTGAATGGCCCTTCATTGAATAGAGCAAGTCATACAGCATGGGACGATATAACGGCAGATACAGGCAGGCATGCTAGAGGCCTACATTTTCAAACCATGATTATGATTAAGATTATGATTATGATTATGATTATGATTATGATTATGATTATCTGTGCATCTTACGTGTTTTCTGCTGCTCCATCCTTTTTTTTTTTACTCTCACGCACTCCCCCCCCAGTGCCCCGATCCCCGATTCCCCCACATCCTCCCCATGCCATTCCATCCGCGTTACTAACTGAATGCCATGCCCTTTTGTGTTTCAGGAAGAATCTGGTGCCTTTTCCACAGCCAATCGGTCTCTGGTACTTTGGCAGGTATGCTTTCTTACAGATAAGTTTACATAGTGTCTTTCTCAGGTCTGTGTACTTTTCGTCTCAAGGTGTCTTTGAGTTGTCTCAAAGGTCGTTCTCAAGTCTGTCTACTACACAAGCCAAGCCACCCACCCACCCAACCAACCATGTTTTTAGTCGCTTACAAAAAAACCATATAACTCTATCCACATGGTACGTGCCGGTATCGGCATTCTGCGTGGCAGCAATGGATGAGCAACGCTGTTAACCTCACACAAGTTTGTACCCTTTTGAATTTTGAGACGTCTCAAAAGTCAAAATTGAAGGCCACCTTTGCACTCTTGAGGCGCCTCAAAAGCCACCTTTGCACTCTTGAGGCGCCTCAAAAGCCACCTTTGCACTCTTGAGGCGCCTCAAAAGCCACCTTTGCACTCTTGAGGCGCCTCAAAAGCCACCTTTGCACTCTTGAGGCGCCTCAAAAGCCACCTTTGCACTCTTGAGGCGCCTCAAAAGCCACCTTTGCACTCTTGAGGCGCCTCAAAAGCCACCTTTGCACTCTTGAGGCGCCTCAAAAGCCACCTTTGCACTCTTGAGGCGCCTCAAAAGCCACCTTTGCACTCTTGAGGCGCCTCAAAAGCCACCTTTGCACTCTTCAGGCGCCTCAAAAGCCACCTTTGCACTCTTGAGGCGCCTCAAAAGCCACCTTTGCACTCTTGAGGCGCCTCAAAAGCCACCTTTGCACTCTTGAGGCGCCTCAAAAGCCACCTTTGCACTCTTGAGGCGCCTCAAAAGCCACCTTTGCACTCTTGAGGCGCCTCAAAAGCCACCTTTGCACTCTTGAGGCGCCTCAAAAGCCACCTTTGCACTCTTGAGGCGCCTCAAAAGCCACCTTTGCACTCTTGAGGCGCCTCAAAAGCCACCTTTGCACTCTTGAGGCGCCTCAAAAGCCACCTTTGCACTCTTGAGGCGCCTCAAAAGCCACCTTTGCACTCTTGAGGCGCCTCAAAAGCCACCTTTGCACTCTTGAGGCGCCTCAAAAGCCACCTTTGCACTCTTGAGGCGCCTCAAAAGCCACCTTTGCACTCTTGAGGCGCCTCAAAAGCCACCTTTGCACTCTTGAGGCGCCTCAAAAGCCACCTTTGCACTCTTGAGGCGCCTCAAAAGCCACCTTTGCACTCTTGAGGCGCCTCAAAAGCCACCTTTGCACTCTTGAGGCGCCTCAAAAGCCACCTTTGCACTCTTGAGGCGCCTCAAAAGCCACCTTTGCACTCTTGAGGCGCCTCAAAAGCCACCTTTGCACTCTTGAGGCGCCTCAAAAGCCACCTTTGCACTCTTGAGGCGCCTCAAAAGCCACCTTTGCACTCTTGAGGCGCCTCAAAAGCCACCTTTGCACTCTTGAGGCGCCTCAAAAGCCACCTTTGCACTCTTGAGGCGCCTCAAAAGCCACCTTTGCACTCTTGAGGCGCCTCAAAAGCCACCTTTGCACTCTCTATGTTTCTACTCCCTCCATCCAGGTGGCACGTGCCAGTAACGGTGTTCTGCATGGCAGCAATGAGCAACTCGGTCAACCTCACACCAAGTTTGTTTCATACCCTTTATAAGTCCGCTCCTTATCTTCCAAATAACCCCATCCAGGTGGTATGTGCCGGTAACGGTGTTCTGCGTGGCAGCAATGAGCAACTCGGTCAACCTCACAGATGGTCTCGATGGGCTTGCAGCCGGCACCACTGCCATCGCCTTCATTGTCATGGCTATAGCCTGCCTGCCCATTTACCCTGGTAAGTCCCACCCTCGGGATTTGCACCTCGGGATCTCATTTGCAGCTCGGGAAGCCCTTCGACCCTTCCCTTCCCATCCCCATCTCCCAACCCCATTCTCCATCCCCATCCTTATCCCCCATTCCCCATGCCACCAGCCATGGGGGCATTCGGAGCAGCAATGGCGGGGGTCATGCATAAGCTTCCAAGCGCACAACCGACACAAGGTGGTGGTCTCGGGGCGGCGCCTGTTACCACTCTCCACCACTCGCTACCACTCTCGCTGCCCTCTCATTCTCAGCCTCTCTCGTGCCCTCCCCTTCCATCCCGACCAGCCATGGGGGCGTTCGGAGCAGCGATGGCGGGGCCCTGCATGGGCTTCGTAGCGCACAACCGACACAAGGCGCACCGGTCTTCATGGGAGGCACGCGCTCCTAACTACCATTCTCCACCACTCTTCACCACTCTTCATGGGGGACACGGGGTCCTTGCTTGGCTCTCGTTCGCTCCCTTACCCTCCCTTCTCCTTCCATATCCTCCCATTCCAATTATACCAGCCATGGGGGCGTTCGGAGCAGCGATGGCGGGGGCGTGCATGGGGTTCCTAGCCCACAACCGGCACAAGGCAGCAGTCTTCATGGGGGACACGGGCTCCTTGGCTCTCGGGGCGGCACTCGCTGCAATGGCTGCCACCACTGGCCTCTTCTTCCCCCTCCTCATCGTCTCGGCCGTTTTCTTCCTCGAGACCATCTCGGTCATGCTACAGGTAAGCCCCCTCACTACCGCTCTCTCCCACTCTCTACTACTCTCCACCACTCAATACCACTCGCTGCCCTAGCGCACAACCGCCACAAGGCAGCGGTCTTCATGGGGGACACGGGCTCCTTGGCTCTCGGGGCTGCCACCACTGGCCTCTTCTTCCTGCTCCTCATTGCGTCCGCTGTTTTCTTCCTCGAAACAGTTTCGGTCATGCTACAGATAAACCGTTTGCTGCTGGCTTCGGTACAGATAGGTACAGATAGGTGCAGCCGCCATTGATACAGGTAAACAGCCACATACAGCTGCGATCGCTACAGCTGCCATCACTACGACCGGCACAAGGCGGAAGTGTTTATCGGAGACACGGGCTCCTTGGCTCTCGGGGTGGCCCTCGCTGCCATGGCTGATTATTGGCCTCTTCTTCCCGCTCCTTATTGTGTCTGCTGTTTTCTTCCTCGAAACAGTCTCGGTCATGCTACAGGCAAATCCGGTTGCTGTTGGCATTGCTACAGCAGCAACCGCGTTTGCCTGTCCGTAAACCGGATAACAGCTTCTAGTACTGGCACGGGGTAAAAATCATTTCAAATGGCTTACTCACTCCTCGCGCTGTACATTTTTATCCCCTTGAACCTGTTTCGCATCACAGGTTTCATTCTTCAAACTCACCAAGCGGATCACGGGCACCGGGTTGAGACTTTTCCGCATGTCGCCTTTCCACCACCACTTGGAGCTTTCGGGGATGGCGGAAACCACTGTTGTCATGCTAGCATACATTGCCACGTTTCTGGCTGGAGCTGCTGCAGTCTGGGTGGCGTTAATTTCAGTTTGAACCCTTAGTGTTAGTCATCAGAATTGTTGCAATAAGTGGTGGGTCATTTTGCATATCCGAAAAGTGGTCCATAATGTATAAAATGCTAATATACTAACGAATGGTGAAGAGTTGAAACTGGAAAGATAAAGGTCGATGTTTAGAATTTTCTATCATCGTCCAGACGAATTTCTGTTATCAGAACTGGCGGGCAGTATATCGCGCCATTTGGCTTCTGTCAGGCAGCATCTGGGGAGGGCTGAACCTGCCTTGAATCCTCAAACGGATGCAACTCGTGCTAGAGAAATTCAGCGGAGTGCGAAAGTTTCCATTGGCGGGTTTGACCGATTGCGAAATCAACCATCGAATCGCTGTGTGTCAGAGCCCCCCCTGGCGAGGGAGAAAGGCTCGTTGCGACGAATCAGCTCAGCAGTCGTCATATGCGTTGCCGTGACAAACTCGCGAGCTTGCGACGAAATCTTGCCCTCCTAGAGTTTCTTCGAGCCTTTGCAAACGTTGTCGCACATATTTCGGCAAAAGGTTTGGCGCCCGTCGTTTGGCTGCTTCGTCGTAACTGCTCCTGCCCCTACCTTCCCCTCAAGTGGCTACTATAACCAATCACGGACGAGCATCCGGAATTCGTTGCGAATCGCAGACCTTGGGTGCGAGCTTGGGCGACTCGCTCGACTATTCGCAACCTCACACACAAATTGCCGACCACCTCTCGCGAAGCCCCCTTTCTTGAATACGTTCGCAAGTTAGTTTCCGTACCCCTTCGCCGAGTCGCGTCCTCAAGAATTTTCGAGCCGCTAATGCCACACATTTCAAATGTCGCATTGTCCCCGTTCAATCCCCACATAGAAATTCACAACATTCGCCCATCCGAAAATCAGTCGACATGTTCGAAGCCCCTTTCTAGTGGGTGTTTGAACAGGAAACTCCCGTTACACCACGCCTCAGCGATCTCCATCTCGTTTCCCTCTCATCAGCGCATCACCCTCTCCTCGATCCAGCCGCTTTCGCACCTACAGACCTCTCCGTTCTATAGTAGAGATGGGTCCAGTTCGGCTTTCGGCGCTCCCTGCGCTATTGTTTCTAGTCTTCGCATCGGCCGTTCTGGTTGGCGCAGAAGATTTTCTTGGGTTACCGACGTCGAAGTACGAGCACGAATGGGCCAAGTATCGACAACCTGACGGACTCCTGTCGCTCGACTACCTGAAGGAAGGCGGCGATGGCGACAAGATCAGAGGAAGGAAGGCCATGGAGAACCTTTTTGAAGTCGTCTTCGTAAGTGACGAAATTCTCCTTGACACAGCCATATGTTTTAGTCTTATTGCCGAGGCCTTTCGAGTTTGGAAGCGGAGGTTCTCAGCAACTCTCCCAATTCCTTTCGTGATCCTCCCTCCCCTTGCGCCCCACAGTGCTCTGCCCTCCCATCGAAGCAAGTGCTCCCAAACAACCTCTTCCAAAACGGCGAGTTTTCAGATGGCATCAACCCGTGGCAAGGCTTCGGCTGGTCGTCTGTGTACACGGTAAAAGACACCCGCTTAAACTACGGCGTCTGCACAAATCGCTCCGAAGCCTACTCCGGCCCGATGCAATCCGTTTCCAACCTGCCGGCCGCGTCGTACGAGATGATCGTCTGGATCCGACTGAACGCCGGCGACCGGCAGTACGTGAACGCGAACGTCAACATTAACGGCGAGTACGTCTGCATCGGCGGCGCGATCGCCAAGTCTAACTGCTGGACGAAACTCATGGGCGGATTCACGTTGCACGACCCGTTGGATAAAGCCAGTATTTACATTCAAGGCGCGAGTCCCGGTACGGAGATCTGGATTGCGCAGGCTTCGTTGCGGAAGGTTGATAAGGACGAATGGCTGGCGCAGCAGCAGGCGAGCATCGAGAAGCATCGCATGCGCGACGTGTCGTTGACGGTGACCGGCAATAACGGGCAGCCTGTGGATGTGGTGATTAACCAGATTCAGTCGGATTTTCCGTTTGGCGGGAACGTGAACGGCGCGATCCTTTACGACACGAACTACCAGAAGGTATGCCAATTGGAACGGACAAGGGATGTTGGAAGTTGCGCGGCGAGCACCGGTTCGTAAAATTAGTAACTCATGAGCTTCGTGATGCTAGCCTTCCCCGTCGCGAACAGTTGCAAAAACCACAACAACTCACCCTCTCCCTCCACCCTTCGTCTTCTTTTGTTTTCCCTTCCCTACAGTGGTTCAAAGATCGATTCAACTGGGCTGTGTTCAATAACGAGGGCAAGTGGTACTTTAACGAGGGATATCGGCAGGGTGAAGAGAACTACACCGTAACAGACGCGATGACCAACTGGTTTCGGCAGCGAAACATCAACGTTCGCGCGCACAACCTGTTCTGGGCCGTCGAGAATTTCGTGCAGCCGTGGGTCAAGGTGAGCATTGCTACACTTTATACCCTTTACAAGGCCCCGCTTCCTGGCTCTTCCCCTCCCCCTCGCCCCCCGCCCTCTACCCATCATTCACTCTCTCCCACTCCCGTTTCCGCCTCTCCACCCGCCTCAAGCCTTCAGCTTCCCCGCATCCGCCTCGTTTCCCCGCCCATCCCCATCCTTTTCCGCCTGGACTTCGCAACCCCCTCCCCCTTCCTCAGCCCTTCCCCTTCCCTCTTCCCCCCCTTGCTGGCTCCCCCACTTGCTTCCGCCTTCCAGAACCTCAACGACGAAGATCTGTGGGCGGCGATGCAGCGAAGACTGAACCATGCGGTAACCCGTTACAAGGGCCAGGTGCAGCACTGGGACGTTCTCAACGAGCCGCTTCACGGCAACTACTTCGCGGACCGCCTCGGGCCGCAGGTGCACGAGTGGATGTACAAGGCCACGTCAGCAATCGACAACCAGGCGCAGCTATTCATTAACGATTATAATACCGTCGAGGAGTGCGACGGCGTGTCGCATCCCGAGTATTATCTCGCGAAAGTCTGGCAGATGACGACACGTGGCTCGCCGGTGACCGGGATCGGCGTCGAGTCGCACTACAGCAAGGAACCCCAGCCGGTGAGTTGCTATTTCACTTGGAATGGGAAGAATCTGCATAATAGCTCTTGGACTGGGAACAATGTGGAATGTGAGTGAGATAAGGAATTGAAATGTCAGTCAGTCAATCAACGCATCCGCGCTATCCTGTGTGCTGTGCCTCCCAATCCTCGCTCCCCTCCCTCGCCCCATCGCCAGGCTCGTCTGCGTCACGATCTGAACCAGCTCGCAGTGGCGGGAATCCCCATCTGGCTGACGGAGCTCGATTTCAACAAGGTGCCTGATGACGCGATTCGCGCGGACTACTTCGAGTCGGTCATGCGCGAGGCGTTCGCGCACCCCGCCGTTCACGGCATTGTGAACTGGTCCGCGGGGCGCGCCTCGTGCGACAAGTACAAGGACGTGGATCCCGGCATGTGCAAGCCGTGCGAGGCGTGCTTCTCGGACTTTAACTACGTCGATAACGAGCTGGGGAAGAGGTAAGAACGAGAAGCTCTAAGACTCTCTGATCTCCAGCATTCTTGTTCCGACACGCACACTCCTCTCCTCACCCATCTTCCTTCTCCCTCGTATCTCGCTGATCACCAAGGCAAGTTCCGAGCCGCCTCGGCATACATTCCAATCTCCTCTCATTCCTCTTCCTCCAATTACCTCTTTCTCACTCTCGCAGGTATGTGCGTCTGCGCAAGGAATGGAGCACACACCTCAACGCCAAGATCTCCCCCGGGCAGCCGCTCGCGTTCAAGGGCTTCCACGGCACCTACCGCGCCCGCTTCCAGGTCAACGGGCAGACCATTGAAAAAACTTTCCACGTGCCGAATGCACAAGGCGTGGCGCAGATTAGTATCCAGCTGTAAGGTATACATTCTGCTGGTGGTGCTGCTGCTGCTGGTGTTGGAGAGGTATACATTCTCTGTGGCTTTAGAAGGGTTTGTGGTTCCTACCATCTGGCTGCTATGCCCTGGTGGTCAGGGATGGGCTTCTCAGGATGCCTCTAGGCATCATTAGTTGTAGCAGATAACCTAGGGAATGTAGCAACTAGCTACATGTAGAGTTGTACTGGCATATCTTATGCTATAATCTGAATCATTATTCATCATACAAGCTGCTCATTACAGAAGGTACAGCAATAACGCGTGCAATGCGTGCATGGTCCGCGGTCATGGTATTTTGAGGAGGACGCATAGAGCGTATGGTGCATTACCATCTTCCAAAGGACACCTAGGGCGGCTCTTCCATAAAGCAACTACTCACTTCTTGGCATTGCCATAGTCCGGCCCATCAGGTTGTCAGTGTATAGGTGCATGGGTGCACGGTTGCCGGTGCATGGTTTCATGTCTGTCAGTGCATGTTCGCATGGCTGTCAGTGCATGGCTGCATGGGAAGAGTCTACTTGATGCAGAAAAAAGGGAATTGAGAAAGCTTGCTTTCTGTTCTTGCAAAGGCAACGGGCTTCATTACAATTGGCAAAGGCAACGGGCTTCATTACAATTGCAGTAAAACAACATTCTCGTCCAACTATGGATGGATTATGTAGATATACAACTAGGGTGGGTGGGTGGGGAGTGGAAGAAAATTATATTCCCCAAAAGAATTACCACGAGCCATCAATGTGACTAGGGCCTATTTTTCAAGGGTAAAATGCACTGATTACACTTACCAGCGGCCAGTTTTTAGAGGTTACCCTGATTTTTTAAGCCTACTTTACTCGTTACCCTTTCTGAAAAAGTATAGGCACACGAAGTAGGCTGATTTTTTCAGTGTGTGCTGGGTTTTATCCTTGCTAGACAGGGTACGAGAGAAAATGCACTGGACCAGAAAATTACGGGCGAAATGAAGTCGTGGGTGGAGGCCGAATGGCCTCCAACCCTCGTTATGTACTCGGCGAATTCTAATTCGCCATTGCTTTGCTTCGTGACAGTCAGCTGCGCTTTCAAAATACGCATTTTTAGAAAGTGTTACACACTTTCGAAAAAAATCATATTGAGAAAGCTTGCTTTCTGTTCTTGCAAAGGCAACGGGCTTCATTACAATTGGGTCTTCTGAGACATGTGCAGTTGGGGTGTTGAAGACGTGGCGAGTGTAGTTGCGATTGATGGCCTTGACGAAGTGCCGAGAGAGGTGGCGTTGGTAATCGCGATCTCTATGTCGATGGCGTTCGAAATGTTGTGTGTGCGAAGGTTGCGTTCTGTTAGTGTAGATGTGCGTGTTTGTTGATGCAGCAGAATAGTGGTTGCAATTGGTGGTTCCCAACCAAGGTCTACACACCCAATGGACGGTACAACTTTTATCTTGGGATTTACCATGTGCTCTGCTGTACTATACGCTTCCAACCGTTTGAGGTTCGGGGCTATCTACAACGTGGATGTATGGGCTGAGTTGGTAGTAGCGGGAGGGTGTGTCCGTCATTTTGGTTAAATAGGATTTTTTTTTTTTTTTTTCACACACGAATTCCATCTTTAACTCCCAACACCTAAAGCCCATTCAAGTTCTTAACGAGACGCAACTTGTGGTAGCATGCTAGTCGCAACTCCCGTGCTTTTATTTCCATCTCGGGTGCGATCTAAGAGAGTGGGATGAGCATGATGGAAACCAATCCCTTTCTCATTGCCCTTATTTGGAGAGAACATTGAATGCGATGTAGGAGTGTGTGTGAACAACCGTAGTCAAGTCAGATTCAAAATCCATCTTGAGTTGCACTCTACCAACCATTTGTAACCAGGTCACTCCAAACAATTGCTTCCCTGGAAATTGATGGGGCACCAACCAACCTTTGTTTGTCAAAAAAATTTTGAGCCCTTTTTTTTTTTTTTTTTTTTTTGAACTCTTATCGTATACGGTTACATCAATAGCCAAGGATGATCCATACTAGCACACACATTGTTCGAAATTCAGCCCATCTTACGGCAAGCCCAACATGGGGACCCTCGGTCCCCTTCCCCCCCTGGGGGGCGGCTCTCAGGCCACACGGGGACCCTCGGTCCCCTTCCCCCCCTGGGGGACGGCTCTCAGGCCACACGGGGACCCTCGGTCCCCTTCCCCCCCTGGGGGACGGCTCTCAGGCCACACGGGGACCCTCGGTCCCCTTCCCCCCCTGGGGGACGGCTCTCAGGCCACACGGGGACCCTCGGTCCCCTTCCCCCCCTGGGGGACGGCTCTCAGGCCACACGGGGACCCTCGGTCCCCTTCCCCCCCTGGGGGACGGCTCTCAGGCCACACGGGGACCCTCGGTCCCCTTCCCCCCCTGGGGGACGGCTCTCAGGCCACACGGGGACCCTCGGTCCCCTTCCCCCCCTGGGGGACGGCTCTCAGGCCACACGGGGACCCTCGGTCCCCTTCCCCCCCTGGGGGACGGCTCTCAGGCCACACGGGGAGACCCTCTGTCCGCTCTTTTTATTGGGAGACGTCCTTGGGTGCGCGTGCAGTTTGATCCTGTAGTCCATGTAATTTCCCCGCGCGACTAGTAGAGCCTTTTATAAAAGTCTTTCCACCACTGTAGTGTTGGGCCTGATTTTCTGCCACCAAGGGATAAGAGGAGCTTATAGATTAATAGAAAATAAACGAAGAGGACATAACGAAAATAAAACTGAAAGAAAATGACTTGCAGCACTTAGGCAACAAATGACGCCCAGTCAAACGACTAAGGCGCTGCAGTGGCAATTTCGTCACTGCCGCGCCAGCGGCCATTTCGTCCATGGCGCGCTAGTGGCGATTTCGCCACTGGCGTACGTGGCAATTTCGCCACATGCGCGCGTGTGGCGATTTCGTCCCTGGCGCGCGCCACTTGCGCCAGTGGCGATTTCGTCCCAATCGCCTGCCACTGGCGCCAGTGGCGATTTCGTCCCTAGCGCGAGCCACTGGCGCCAGTGGCAATTTCGTCACTAGTGCGTGCCACTGGCAATTTCGTCTTTGGCGCGCCTGTTGGCGTTTCGTCCGGCGCACTTCGCTCTCAGTTGAGCGCCCGCTAAGTACAGTCGCACGCGTGATATTGTTGCCCTTCATGAAAATCGATCGCTTGAAGGTGAGTCGTAGTAAGTAGTTCTAGTGACAGAGGAAACTTTCGAGGTGGTTGGACGAGAATGAGTGGAACTGCAAAGTTCCGAAATGAAGTCGTGGGTGGAGGCCGAATGGCCTCCAACCCTCGTTATGGCGAATCGGCCTCCACCCCTCGTTATGTACTCGGCGAATTGTAATTCGCCATTGCTTTGCTTCGTGACAGTCAGCTGCGCTTTCAAAATACGCATTTTTAGAAAGTGTTACACACTTTCGAAAAATTTCATTTACCAGTAGGATGAACATGGAAAACAAAAGGGACACAGCCAGAGAAAAAGAACACGACGCCGATGCCGGGGATCGAACCCGGATCTTCCGCGTGACAGGCGGAGATACTGACCATTATACTACATCGACATGTCTTCGGAGACTCACAGAATACTTATACATTTATTTACAACATCAGGAGCACACCCCACCTTGAGCTGTGGTTGTTCAACGGTCATGTCGCCGCCAAAGCGCAAAACGAGCATCAGCAGCAGCACGGGCGGCAGCAACAGCAGCGCTGCCGCGCGGCAGTCCCGCCCGAGCAACCCGCCGTCGCGCCCCCTTTCCCAGCCAGACCTTTCTCAGGACCCGTCTCTTCACCAACACGCACTGCCACGTCAGCACCCTCCTCCGCACCACACGGGCCAGCCACCGTACCCTAATCCCCCTTACCCGCAAGGCCCGCCTTATCCGCAAGGCCCGCCGTACCCCCAAGGCCTGCCGTACCCCCAAGGCCCGCCGTACCCCCAAGGCCCGCCGTATCCGCAAGGCCCGCCATACTCCCACGGACCGCCTCCTTTCCCGCCCTATGCCAACGGCCCTCCCCCCGCCGGAGCCGGGTTTTACGGGCCTAGTTGCCCACCTTCCGCTGGCTCGGGCCCTCCGCCGTACGCCCGCGCAGCGCGCGGTGGGGAAGATGGGTACGGATCGGACGGGTCGTTTCACGGTTACATGTCGGACGAGCCGCCGTATCGCCGCGGCGCGGGGTACGGTCGCGGCGCGAATGGCGGTCCCATGGCGGCGCCGCAGAAATCAGTACCGTCTAAGGGACGCGCGACTCGGCAATGGTGTTCGACGTCGCGCCTGCTGTTACTAATCTTCATCCCCGCTGTAGTGTTCTTGCTGATAACGAGCGGGCGCAGTCCGGGGAACTGGCGAACGGTCGAAGCGGAGGTGTGGGGAGGCGCGGAGGAGGAGCGCCGAGAGGCTGCTTGGGGCGCAGGCGCAGGCGCGGGGGCGGGGGGGGATCTGCGGGGAGTGCGGTGGAGCAGCGAGCTGGAGGCGGCGGTGATTGCGGGGGCCGTGGCGAAGGGCTTTAAGATGGACCTTAGTACAGCGCGGACTAGACTAAGGACAGGTAAATGGGGAAGGGGGAAGGGGAAGAGATAGGGGAGGGGCAAGGGGGAAAGTGGGCCGTACTTCAGGGCTTTAAGATGGACCTTAGCGCAGCACGAGCGGAAGCGGTTTGGGAAGGGGAGGGGAGGGGAAAGAAAACACGTTGTGGCGTTTGAATGTATTCTAGCACTGCTGGTTTTTGAGAATTCTAAAAAACCAGCACTAATCAATTTGAGTCTTGAGATTTCTTACTTGGCCCTCCTTCACCTCGAATCCCATTCAGATGCTGACGTGGAGGGGGCCAACATCGACCACAACAACTCTATCACCAACCCCTGCTTGACACGTCACTCGCTGCTGCAGCGGGCCTATCAGGAGGCGCCTCCTGCCGCGCTCACGGCGCTCGGGCAGCCGCGATTCGTCCAGCGCAGCGGATACCGGTTGTCGGCCAATGAATTCGCAGCGATTGGGATGAGCCTTCGTGTGATGAGAGAGATCACATATGATGGGGTAAGGGAGTGGGAGGGTTGAGTGCGTGGGGAGGAGGCAGATGATGGAGTGGGAGGGTTGAGTGCGCGGGAAGGGATGAGTGAGATGGAAGGAAACGATGAGTGAGCGGTTGATGCAATGGAGAGAGCATGAATTCGCAGCGATCGGGTTGAGCCTGCGAAGGGTGAGGGAGATTGCAGACGATGGGTGGGGTGAGTGTGTCATGGGAAAAATGAGGGAGGGGGAGGAGGTGAGTGAATGGAGAGTGGGTGAGGGAGAGGGGGATGGCTGACTAATATCGTTCCCATATTTGTCTCTTCTCGCCCCTTTTTTCCCCCTCTGCCTTCCCATCTCCCCACGTTCCCATTGGTCCACGTCAGCTGGGCCGCTGCTACTGGGTCGGGCGGGACGGGCAGCATTTGACGGGCAGGCTGAGGGGAATTTACCCTGGAGAGCACCATTTATTGATGTATGAGACGGCAATATACCATTGCAAACTCGCAGCGGAAAGCACGGGGAACGGTGGTGGCACGGTCATGATTCAACTAGGTATGTGGTGTCGGCCTCCTGCACGCACGCAGCTCACTGAGCTATGTCTGGATCTCACGGTCATGATTCAACTAGGTATGTGTGTTGAGACGCCTCAGTGGATGATGTGTGAGGCACTTCAAAGGTTATGTCTTATTCCATTCTTTCAAATGCTAGGTCCTGTACCCTGTGTTCTACTGCAAGGCTACCTTGCAAGAATACACTTAACTCAATCTGTCTTTCTCTCTTCCCCCACCACCTCCCCTCTGCTCCACGTCCCCACACAGACTGCACAGATGTACCCACCTACAGTGAGCCACCCTCGCCAACATATTGCTCCATTTTTCTCTCTCCCCCTGCCCCTTCACCCTGTTTCCCTCTCTTCCCCTCCCGCTCCCGCCTAGAGACCGCACAGATGTACCCACCTACAGCAAGCCACCAGTACCAGCATCCACCCTCCTTGCAAGGCGCCTCAACAATACAATCAGCTTCTCCTGTCTCTCTCCCTTTTCCATGCTTCCCCTCCAACCCCCTCCCCACCTCCCCCCCCCCCCCCCCTCCTCCATCCGCCTCCCCCTCCCCCTTTCAGACCACACTGATGTTCCCATTTATAGTGAACCACCGGCACCAGCATCAGCCCTCTCGTCCCTCCTCCCCACACACTCCCACTCGCAAACCCACCCCACCACACACGCTGCTACACATGTCGCTACACATGCGAGCACTTCAGCCCACTCACCCGCCCAGACACACACGTCTCTTGCGCACTCCAGTCCAAGCAACGCCACCCAATCGCACAACAGACAGGGCTACGGCTTGCAGCATTGGGGCGGCAAGGGGAGCCAGCGGTTTGAGTACGAGCTGGCCTTCTGCTCCTTCCCCATGTACCGTGACCTCAACCCCTCCACACTGCAAGTGTGGCTGCAGGTGTGTGGGTGTGGGGTATGGGTGTGGTGTATGGGCATAGGGGCAGGGAACAGGGGGCAGCGGGCCACCGGTTTGAGTACGAGCTGGCCTTCTGCTCCTTCCCCATGTACCGCGATCTCAATCTGCATGTGTGGCTGCAGGTATGTATGGCATGGGCATGGGTAGGAGAGGAATGGAGGGAGGTAGGGGTGCGGAAGAGAGGGGGAGGGCCAGTTTGAGTACGAGTTGGCGTTCTGCTCCTTCCCCATGTGCCGCGATCTCAATCCTTCCATGCTGCATGTGAGGCTGCATGTGTGGCTGCATGTGTGGCTGCATGTGTGGCTGCATGTGTGGCTGCATGTGTGGTCTCTCTTCCTCTTGCTCGTTTGCTCTCCATCCTCCATCCATTGGGCATATATCACTAACCTTGCTTGCAACCATTCTCCCCCCTCTCACCCCGCTCCTCAGGTGGCATATCACTACCTCAAGGTGGACTATACTATTTCGTGCCCAGCAATGGGATGATCGTTTGACCATTCCTCCCTCTCACATATAACCTTGCTCAGCAGTTGCTCAGCAATGGTATAACCTTGCTGGTGCCTATTCCGTCCCTCTCAACCCTATCCCTGTCTCTATTCCTTCCTATCACTACCTCAAGGTGGACTATTCCGTGCCCAGCGATGGGGTGATCCTTTGATCATAAACCACCCAACTCCTCCTGTCCCTCCCTATCACTATTCTCCTCAGGTGGCCTATCACTACCTCTCAAAGTGGACTACTCCGTGCCCAGCGATGGGAGCTCTGTGTGTTTGCAGACGCATCAACTCTCACTCCTCTCCATGCGCTTGCTTCTTGTAGAGAGGGTGTTTTTGAGACGTCTCAAAAACACCCTCTCTACATGTGGCACGTCTCAACTCTCACTCCTCTCCATGCGCTTGGTTCTTCCTTTCACCCCTCGACACCCCAGGTGGCATATCATTACCTCAAAGTGGACTACTTCGTGCTCAGCGATGGGGGTTCTGTGGACGACACTATAATGAAGGTGGGTGTTTTATTACAGAGGTGAGCGTTTTTTTTTTTTTTTTTTTTTTTTTTTGTGAGCGTTTTTTTAGGTGTGCGTTTTCTTAGTCGACTCAAAGATCGGCTCTGTGGACGGCCGTGTTATGAAGGCGACCATTAGACGCGACTGTTATGGATTATAAGAAATGTGAGCTGGTGCTTCTGAAATCCCACCGTTGAGTTTTTGAGACGTCTGAAAGGCTAAGGTGGGGACAGGGTGGGCTGCGTAGCCCTTGAGACTTTTGAGAATTCTCAAAAGTCGCACCAATATAGTGGGCTGCGTAGCCCTTGAGTTCTGTTTTAGATTCAAGGCCGTTAGTTTCTGTTTTAATGTACGGCCTTGAGAATTTTTTTTTTAATTCAACTTGTATTATCCTCCTTCCTTCAGTCCGAACCCACTCTATTCTCTTATCTATTTTCTCCTTCCATCCCCAGGTTCTATCCCCGTTTGTAGATGCCAACATAATGGAAATAGTCGACATTCGCGGCGCATACGCATTCGAGAACAAACAGAACGTGCTAACCCTAAATGACTGCATGTACCGTCTCCGCTCCGCCGCCCGCTGGGTACTATTCATGGACTTCGACGAGCTACTGTACATAGCCCCGCCGCCCACCCCGCCGCCCGAGCCAGAAGCAGACGAAGAGGGCGAATACACGCCCTCTGGCCGCAAGCGGAGGAAAAAACGGAAAAGGCACGCCAAGCCGAAACCGGTGGACATAGCTGCAGGGTCCCTCCATAACATCCTTATGCAGCATAACGGGTCCGCTTTTATCACGTTCGGGAGTGTGTGGTGGTCTGTGGAGTATTGTCGACCGCCCACTCCCGCTCTCGCGCTCCCAATTCAGCGGATGCGGTTTCATTGGCCGCATGTGTACTGCGTGGGAGAGAAGGACATGGGGTACTCGCCGAATCACTGCCTCAACTTCTATGGTCATCGCAAGTTTCTGGTTGACCCACGACAAGTGTGGGCTGTGCAGGTGAGACTGGGGCAGGTAATGCCTTCTTCTCTCCTGCTCTCCTGCTCTCCTGCTCTTTCGCTCTCTCGCGCTCCCGATTCAGCAGATGCGGTTCCATTGGCCGCATGTGCTCTTTTGCGAGAGAAGGACATGGCATATTCACCAACACACTGCCTCAACTTCTACGGCCATCGGAAGTTCCTGGTTGATCCACGACAAGTGTGGGCCGTGCAGTGCAGGTGAGACACTTTCACATGTGCTGAATAAATACTAGTGACATGCGCACAGCCTCACCAGTAAGGGGGAGATGCGGTGGGGATGGGACGGGTCACGCACGGGGTACTGTCTTTCCCGCTGCCTCAACTTCTGGAGAAGGAGAAGGACATGGGATATACTCCAACCCACTGCCTCAACTTCTACGGTCATCGCATGTTCCTTGTGGACCCATGACAAGTGTGGGCCGTGCTGGTGAGACTGGTGCAGGTGGGACAGCTTCGCATATGGTCAGTTAATACATACAAGCACAGGTAGGGGGGTGATGGAGCACTCGTCCCAACCAAACCTAATGCCTGGCACTAGCTTCTCCCCGCACCCTCATTCAACCCACGAGTTCTCCCTGTGGCCCCGAACTGTCTCCCTGAAGGTGCATCGCCCCATTGAACCACTCACTGGAGGGTGGCGATAATTCAGCAATTCTCTAGAGTGAATCCCATGCCCCCATCAGCCTCCCCATGCCCCCATCTGCTGTGCATGTTCTGGGTTGCTGCTTGAAATGCTATCTGTGTCTTCTCCCCATGTCTCTGCCCCATGCCTTCTCCCCATGTCTCCCATGTGCCCATCCTGAAGGTGCATCGCCCCATAGAACCACTGGAGGGCGGCGTGCATTGGTGAATCTTAGTAGATGCCTCCACCTTCACTCCCCGTGCCTTTAATCACCTCACTCTATCTCCCCACGTCCCTCATGTGCCCGCCCCGCAGGTGCATCGCCCCATAGAACCACTGGAGGGCGGCGTGCATTGGTGAATCTTAGTAGATGCCTCCACCTTCACTCCCCGTGCCTTTAATCACCTCACTCTATCTCCCCACGTCCCTCATGTGCCCGCCCCGCAGGTGCATCGCCCCATAGAACCACTGGAGGGCGGCGTGCATTTGACTCCTGATGTGGCCTACCTCAACCACTTCCAGGTCTGCCCTACTCCTCTTTTTTCTGGGGTTTCCAGATAAAACACTTAACACCTTGTCTCCTGTAATACGTTCTCTGAGTTCATGCAAAAGTATTTAGTCCTCTGATGTATGTGCATGTATGTGCATGTATGTATGGCCAGCCACTCTGCTGATATACACTCTGGTATGTGCATGTACGCATACAATCGTCTCATTTCATTGCCCTTGTACTGTTCTTGTTGGTCTTTGTCATGTAGGGGTTACTACATGCCAACTTCACATTGTGCTCGCAAGAGGTGCTTCCAGGAAAGGAGCCTGATTGGTGGACAGAAGACGGCTATTTGGCCGAGTTAGTGGGCATGATGATGAAGAAAGGCCCCCCCAAGAAACGCCAGAGAATGCCCTTCTGATTCCACTCTGTATGCCTCATGGGATTCCCCAGATCTCATGGGACCGACGGGGCACATTGATCGACGTACGGTCAAGACTAAACTAAACCCCATCCGGATGGGATCAGCCCTAAACACCATGCGGCAAGGTGTTTAGGGTTGAGTTTCCCCTAGGCGCATGTCATCCCGATGGGGTTTAGTTTTTTGTGGCCTTGAGCAGCTGAATGACCGTCGGGGTGAGCTCCTGTTCCGCCTATCCCCTGACATTTACTGGTCTGGATATTTGCTCATTTTTGTGTAAAGGCAGTTGGACAACGAATTTTAGGCCTGTGCATTATCTCAAGTGTTGAAACTCTGTGCATTGTCTTGAGGTATCTCCCAGTTTAATAAAGCGCGAGGTTCTGCTATCCACCGACGTGCAGGCCCTCAGATTCGTTTTAGACAACACTTTCTGGTCAGTGTTGCTACAAAAAAAAAAAAACTTTCTGTCAGCCTCCTTATGAAGAAAAAGCCTGAAAAATCAGTGTAGGGTAACAAAAAAAAACTTTCCCTTCAGGGTAGGTACAAATTTTTAGGCTTTTTTTGAACAACTCCTCCGTTACCGTTAGATATGTTATACTGTGATGTGACATGACAAGGGAGGGAAGGGATGTTACAAAATTACATATTATGAATGAATGAACCAAGTACAGCAAAGGCATTACTAACTAGATTATAGCAAAGGCATTACTAACTAGATTATAGATGCCTCCTACCTACCATACCACATCTCATCCTCGTCATAATCGCCACCATCTCCCTCAGCCTCTACATCTAGGTCTACCGGGTTGGCCTCATCTCCATCAGCCTCCTCCTCCTCCTTACCTCTCCGCCTCCGATCCGCCTCCTGCCTGGCTATGTTGCTTGTGTTGAACGGCTTCCGCTTCTTGTAGTTGCGCCAGATCTCCACAATCTCATCCCAGTTCGGCTTGTAACGGAGCAGCGACATGCACATCAAGTCGCTGAGCCGAGCATCTTTGAGGCTGCCTCGCTGCCAGGACTTTATGACATTCTGCCGCGAGAACCCGCGCTCGCATTCCACGGTGCTCAGCGGCAGAACCGACACCGCCACCCACAGCCGCACCAGGTTCGGGTAGTGCTCCTGCCAGTCCTTGGTCTTGAGCATGGCGGTGAGGCCCGTGTGGAACCCGCGCTCGGTCTTCGGTGCACGTGCAAGTACGGGGATTAACAGCCGCACTTCCTTGAATGCTCTCTTCTTGTCGACCCCTGCCGTCACAAAAAACAAGAATAGTTAATAACATTGGAGTGATGTTATAAAATATGGCTCCTATCTCTAGATTTAGCAATGCATCAAGCAACACAAAGAGAGTCGGCTCACCCGGTACGATTTCCTCGCACTCCTCCGCGCGGAAGAGAGTGATCAGCAACTCAAGGTACTCTTGACACTTTGCCTGGCGCTCGTGCCTGCCAAGCGGCCAAGAGTCGGGGGTGAACAATTTGACGCCCGACAGCTTGTCAAGGTCGCCCAGACGATCCTCGAGGTTGGCCACGATAAGCTCTGCAAACTCGGTACAGATGTCCAGGCATGCGTCGTGGTGCCCTGGTCCAGGGTAGTCTGGAAGCTTGTCTTCATGCAAGATGAATGTAAATGTGCTCGGCTGCCCGTCCGAGTCAACGCCCTCGATGATGACCTCCCGGGTGCCTTCAGGACCATGCTTCTCTAGCCATGGTGAGAGCCTTGGACTGAGACCGGCGCCGAACTCGTCCCCACAGTCAACGTAGCGAGCCTCGAGATGTCCCGTTGTACGCCGAATCTGCGCATGAACAGCTGCTAGATCGAGCTGGGGAGGAAGCAAAACAGAAGACAGAGAGGTGTTAGTTAGGTTGAACAGTGCGAGTCATGACAAAAAAAAAGATAACAAGCCTGTGTATAAAGATTAAACCATGGCAATTACTCGGCATGACCACAAAAACGCACCTCGCGTCGCTGGAATGTCCTACTCAGGACGTTCATCTGGTCAAGGACATCGGACAGGAAGAGGAGGAGAAAGTGAAACATGTACGACGTCACCACAGTATACAGCTCCTCATTCCACTCCTTCAGCATCGTGATGACGGCAGGCAGGACCGCCACAAACCTGGCGATGGCATCACCACGTGATAGCCACCGCACGTTGTGAATCCCTTGCAGCTCCAGGAATGTTTGGGAGAAGACTTCCTGCAGGTCCATGAAGCGCTGATGCCATGGACCCGAACGGCCCAGGTGCTCTGCAATGGCGCGGATGGTGCTGTCGATCATTCCAAAGACTGGCATGCTGTCTGCTGCATCCTTAGCAGCAAGGGCCTCCCTGCAAGCACAATTACAGTAAGCAGTGGATTATAATATAATACAACCAAAGGGTTTGACAACACTGCAGAGAACCATAGACACTCACCGGTGTGCAATACAGTGGCAGGAGACGAGGTGAGGTATGCGAAGCCGCAAACGTGCCACCAAGCCCGACCTTGAACCCATCATGACGGAAGCACCATCAGTGCTGATCCCCACGATGCGCCGAAGGTCAACGCCACATGCCTGCACGTGGGACAGCAGCAACTGCAACAGTGACGCAGCATCCGCCTTCTCAACCGTCAGGAGCGCCATGAACTCGGTGACGAGGCGGTGGTCGCGGATGAAAGTGACGAACAAAATTAAGTGCTTGCCTCTGCAGCGGTCGGTGCTCTCATCGCACGAAATGCCGATGTAGGGACTTGCTAGGATCTTCTCCAGCTGTGTTGTCTGCAGCCATGTTGCTATAGACTGCGTCAGCTCCCCAAATCCGTACCTGGCGGAAGAGCAACGCAACATCGGGATGATTAAGATGAGCTTTATAAACCCTACAAAGAAAAGACAATACAAGAAAATAAACTTACGTGGTGTAGTATGTCCCGTACCCCTTCTTCGGGAAACCGGGGACTCCCCTCTCAGCCAGGTATCGCACCAATCCCACCCAAAGCTCCATGGGTGCGTCCTCCTTGCTGACAAAGAGGAGAGCGTCCAACAGTGATATCACCCGGACCTTTTCGCTGTCGTGCGCGAGAGGATGCTCGTCAATCCGCGGCTGCCTCGTCGCACCAACGAGCTGATCCTGCCGTTGTATCGCGAGTTTGTGCTTGTTGGTGGCAGCGTGCCGCGTGAAAGCCTGCTTCTGGACGTCGACTGCTCCTTCGCTACCCTTCCCAGTCTTGCCAGACAGTCCTGCATGTTCCAAGCACAACGAACACTTAAAAGCAGGGAGACCAGTTGCAGTTTTCACAAGCTGCAGCCAGGCAAATTGACCCTGCCACCTCGATTTGAACCTGTCGAGAGCAACGGCGTAAATCTCATCGGCAGTAGCTGACGGCTGGTTAGAGGCCGCAGCCTCGGGTACAGGCGGAAGCGGGACGTCGGTCGGTGCCGCTGATGGCGCAGATTTGTCGCGAATGAAGTTAAGCTTAGACTGAACGAGGCGACAAGCCGGGGACGCCGAGGCAGCTGCTGGAGGGTGAGATGCGGGTGGAACGAGGCGAGAAGCCGGGGAGGCCACGTCGGGAGGAGGTCGTTGCGATGCTGCGGGGTCGGGGCGAGAAGCGGATGGCGGAGGAATGATTGGAGAAGTCGGGGAAGCCTCTGCTGGTGTCGACGGGGAAAAATGTACCGTCATCGGTATATCTTCCTCACCATTCGTGCGTGGCGTTGTTTTATCTAAGACTGTGGCGCCAATCGAATCTGGTGGGGCGGAAGTAACGGTAGGAATTGCTGTAGGTGTAGTATCTGTATGGTTCTTGCTACGCCGGGGATTGGTTGCTTTGGAAAGCGAGCACATCAACAGGTCTAGACCCGTGTGTGCTATCTCGCCCTCAATGTCGTCAGGCTCGTCGCCTGCAGCATCGCCGTCCATGGGAAGAGCCATGGTGGAAGTAAGGATGAGAGGAGAAGGTGGAGAGAGTCAGCCGAGAAAACAGAGAGTGAAGCACGGCAAACACAATCTAAGAACGGGGAGAAGAAGATGGGCAAGGGAGGGACACCCCACCTCGCACGTGATTGGTTGACACTCACAAACGAGCCCCACCATGCAGGTGTGGATGGTCCCCGATGGCACATCCAGATTCCACAGCGACTCGGTTAAAACCGACAAGCCGTGGAATCTTGCCGGTCATGGCAACGTGATTGGGTACGGCGTGGGATTAGCCGAAACTGCCCAATCACACCCGAATTTGAAAGATGATGGCGACAACACATTAAGTGAGGTGAGAGTGGAAGTACAGCAAAGATGCCGTTTCCCGTGATTGACGGTGACGGCGGAAAATCCGGGCGAAAATTTTGCTGTATCCATTGAATCTAGGCCAAGTCAGCATCGAGGATGGCCTCGCTACTGTATGATTCGAATCAGGGTCCTCTACCAAATTTAAGCTGAAATTTCAGGCCTTGTACAAAATTTCTCGCTGGAAATAAAGTATGAACAGGAAAAAAAAAAACCTTTTCATCAGTGTTGGGTCCAAAAAAAACCCTGAAAATCAGGGTTCAAAGTCAAAATCAGGGTAAAATTCCTGAAATCTGAGGGCCTGGTCGTGGTGCCCTGGTCCAGGGTAGTTTGGAAGCTTGTCTTCATG